CACAGTAGTTCTAGTATGAATTCATTGCATATTTAAAGTTTCTTTTTTTTCTAAACATATTTAAAGTTACATTACTTTCTGTAAATCTATGTGTAAAATTCATCAATAATAACCACTCATTTTTTTTCTTCTAATAATTAAACTCTCATGAACATTAAATATTCCATACTATAATATGTACATCATATTATCAACATACCGAAGGAGCGAAATACTTTCCGTATACGTTGCATGTAGTTCGGAAGAGGTCTTTTTACATACACTTAACGTCTCTGCCTTTCAGGATGATAAAAAGCTTTTTATTCCTTCTCACTTTAAGATTGGTATATACTTCTGATCATAAAGCAGTAAGAGACTATTCCTTAAAGTGATTTTTTTAAAATAATTGTTTAAGGTTTATTAGGGAGGTTAAGTTACAAATTTTCATACATATCAAAACATGTAAAAGCAGGCACTTAAAATGACCGGGGGATGCTCTGACAAGTATTTTTCTGTTAACTGTACAGATTTTGTGTATCGGCCTCTTTCTTTGCATTATAATCGAACCATTCCATGTTATCGTATTGAATAACTTTCCTGTCGGGAATACCCCCACCGATTTGAGGAATTTGAGTTTTGTGAAACGCTTTATATCTTGAGGAAGGGATATAGTTGTTTTAATTTATTTCAATTTCTGTAAATTATTTTTATGGATGTTCCTACTCTTAAAACGCATGAAAAGTTTGAATTGTAGAGATACTGAATACAAACAAAGCAGCCTCAATGCGTTACTATGAAGGTGTCTCCATATGAGTGAAAAATTCTTGGGAGGGATGTTTAACAAAAAACAAACAAAACTTCATGAAGTGTAAACATTATTTATTCATAATAATTCAACGAAAATTAAAATGTTAAAAATAATTCATTGTACATGATATCTCTAGTACTGGGTATCCTTTGTTTTAAAACTTTACATTTACATTCTATTTTTACGAGAATTAGACATTAAACACTATAGCACGAATCTACTTTACTCCCTTCTAGCGATGATATGCACATATTCACATATGTACGTGTACGTCAAATATAACGTGCACGTGAAAATTACGCATACACGTTGTTACGTTACTTGTAACTTAACCTCTCTATTAACCTCCATTTTGTGACTGTACAAGATAAGTGTAGTCACCAGGCATGAAATATGGAAATAATGAACAGTATTCAAGCTCTAAGTACATTGAAACAATACAAATCAGGAGCAGAGCAAACACGAACCTCTAAAAACATCAGAGGTGGAATCAAGTGCTGCTATAGAGGAGGAAGCAATCCCTGCAGACTGAGCACTCCCGTCCTGTGCTCCTTGTCAGGTTTTGTAAAAACAGAAAAATCCGTAGATAATACAGTGTGTAAATAATGGCCTAACAATTAGTATGAAAATCGTCATGCGGCATTTGACGTAATGATAGGTGGCATTTGATGACAAGATCATTGTATCGACCATAAATATTGCGAAATGATGACTTCAAACGAGACTATTGATATTCTTGTTTCATCAACTTGTTTGTCAATAGCTTGCCTCATTTTAGAAAGTGTTCATACGTAGAGCATGCTCTTGCGCATTGAATCAAATGGGAGACAAAAAAACCATATGCAGGTGTTAAAGGTATATTACTACATAATTAAGGGAAGTTGACGATTGGAAAATTGAAGTCATCATGTTTATCATAAAGTTTCGTTGCTAGGTTACCATTAACGTTTTTTCTAGTAAAATATCCAAATATGAACATTTCCAGTTATTTCCTATATATACATTTGGTCAAATTTGTAGGTAAGGTAGATCTCGTGCCTTTTCATCATGGTATTTCTTTATACATCTAGTTCCCCTTTTCCTATTGCGTCGTGAATTTTGTTTGCTTCCCCCTTTGGTTTAATTTTGAAATCAGTGTGCTGATCGGTCTTTGAAGCATTTCATTTGAACTGTGTCCTGTTTCTGGGCAGGGCATATTCCATTGCTCCATGAGTGCCTCAAACTAACACTGTCCCTCCTTCGCACATTTCTTGTCACTGACTTTTAGATATCATTATTGCTTCCCATTTGATAACAATTACTTGATACACACTGAGAGTGTCCCGAATTTAATAGTAAGGTCTATAGTAATCTTTCAGGGAATCCTTACTTGCTGGCTATCCTGTTTCGATTATTTTTATCATTTTCTTGTAGATCAGGGTCTTCTATTGTCGCCTCTCTAAAGTCTTGTATTCTAGAGTTTTTCAGCTTTTCATTTATTGATATCTCGAATATATCTGGATGATTTTCTCTTAGATCAACTTTTTGCATGTAAGCTCTACTTAATGTATCTGCAATCATAAGTTATTTTCCCTTTAAGAATTTGAAGATGAAGTCATAGCGATTGAGTTTCATCATGGTATCTTGTAGTCGCTTAGGATCATTACTTAGAGGTTTACGAAGGATTGCTTGCCAGGAACCAACCAACCTGAATCCGCAAGGGAGATATCACTTCGTCCTCAGAGAAAAATTTAGGGAGAAGTTTCAAATCTAGGGAGACTTCTTAGCGCGCGCGCGGTGCACATTGATCATTATTAAAACTTTAAAATATTAAATATATACCAATGCATGTACCTTAAATACATTACTCTTCACTAAAATACTAACAGCAATGAAGGTGAAACTTCTGGAGTACTGTAAAACAAAATATTCCAGAAGCGGTGTAAATCAGATATGGATACTTAAACACTTCAAAATTTTTTTTAGAAAATTCGAAATCACAAAATTCTACCAAAAATAACATCAAAACGTACGACTTTTCAACACTTTATACAACCATTCGCCACGATAAATTAAAATTCAGGCTTTTTGACATCATAGACAGCTGCTTTTTCAATAAAAATGGAACTCGTATATTTACTTATCTAGTCATTGGTCAATTTGCAATATTTTGTTAAGAAACATTCTGATTGTACACACAAGTACTCTGAAGTACATATCAAAAAGATGCTTGAGTTTCTGATTAACAATATTTATGTAGTTGAATACTTTGAGTAATCAAAGATATAAAGAAACTGCTTCTTGTGCTTTTCTTATTTTTAGATCGCATTTTGCATTATTTATTGAACGATTGTGGCAACGCACTTTGAAAAAATTACGCATTTTGAAAAAAATTTTCAAAGTGCGTTAAAATTGGGACAAAATCAACGCACTTTGAAGAAATTTTTCAAAGTGCGTTAAGAGTGTACATCAACATTTTTTACCATGTAGACACTTAATGCACTTTGAAAAAAATATGTATAAAACAAAAATTCTGGACTTAGATTTTAATAATAGACAACATTAATTTGTTATATTTCTTCTGAAAAACTGATGTATGATCTACCCTAATCGAGAACGAGAAGACAGGTAGAAAGTCCCTCAGCCCAACACTCAATCTTTCCTACATAAATATATGTATTTACATAACTGGTATGACATTATTATTTCTCTCAATAAATTTGAGGTAACGTAAAATAGATGAAGAAATTGAGATAAGCTTTCCTGAAAAAAAAATTGCGCACCCTATTATATAAAGGAAGAGAGCCGCATAACCTTTATTCAAAATGTATCCACAATGATTCCTCGGAAAAATGCATTTGCATGGGAATTAAAACATGCTAATTGACATGTCTAGCGTTTTTATGATATCAAATTACAGATTTAGAAGTAATCTGACTGCATAATTTTTTTGAGAAAAAGTTTTTTAGTGAACGAGGTAAAAATTTCAGTCGAGTGAGTAATGTGGCTAAGGTTTATTTTTTTACTTTCAAATAAATGAGTCAACCATTGTTTCATATATGTTCACAATAGATAGATAGATGAATATGATAGCTAGAAAAATAGATGAGAGAGAGAGAGAGAGAGGGAGAGAGATAATTTTCATGATATGGAAAAAATCATAATTGCCCCCTTTTCCCTAAGAAAAATGCGATGTTTTAAGTCACTTATCGACACCTACATCTACCGAACGTATTAGAGACTGGATAAAATTTTAAAAAAAGAAAAGAAAAAAAGAAACGAAACTGTTCTATTAAACAATCATTCCTCCATTATTTCCAAGACCCATTTCCTTTTTATAACAGTTACCTTTGGAAAAAAGACAACTCCTAAAAATCTTTAAAACATTTATATCTCAGATCCTGACGTCATCACCGAAAAGTTATCCAACCAGGTTCAAATACATGTAATTTTTTATGATACCTAAAATTTGCAAGAATATTGACCAAGCCGTGCACATTTTTTTTTCAAAGTGCGTTAATATGGTCGATATTAACGCACTTTGAAAAGATTTTTTTTTTTAAAGTGCGTTAACGTTGTCCCAAAATTAACGCAGTTTGAAAAAAAATTTCAAAGTGCGTAATTTTTCAAAGTGCGTTGTAACAATCCTCGTATTTATATGCAGCATATGTCTTGGAAGATCAGATATAAGTATTTTCTTATCATGGCCACAAAAAGGATTCAAAGTTTTACAATGGAATAGATATGATTCAATCTTTAAAAAAATCTTCTCAAGAACAGATGTACTTTATTTGGATAATAATTGTCAATTTGAATTTATTGAACACACACATTATTTAAAATGTTACAATGTAAATATATAAACTATATGTAAACTTTAGGTGTATATGTAAGACAACATTATTGTGATGGTAGTGTGCCTATAAAAATCCAGCCTAGTGACTGCCTAGTAACTGACACAAAAAATTGACTCTATTGTAAATTCTAAGGACTCCAAAAAAAAAATCTTTAATTAAAGATACACAGATAAAATAGTATAGTATCATAAAGGTAAAGATAATTAGCGATGATAATCGGAATGGAATATAAACAAGACATTAGTACAGAGTAACCACAATATTTAGCACTTGCATGGTAAAGATTATAACAATATTAATATTCATTTTATCCTTGAGTGTATGAAATGTGAATTGACATTCTTTATTTTTTTTTTAAATTATATAAATGTAGAGTAACTAAATAAGGAAACCAAAATAATCTTGAATGTTTGAAAAATATAACTGTAATAGAAAATTAAATAAACCAAAACTGAGCAACATCATGACACTGTCAATAATATATTGCAAAAGCCTTTGTAAATTCTTATTTTTTGCTTATTGGAAAATTGATGTAATGTCAAATAATGTAATTGATTTTGTGTGAATCTATGGCAGGATAAAATTGAAAAGTGAATTACGAAATGTAATTATAATGAGAAATTGCATTTTGAAAATATGGCAGCATATGCATATTAAACGACGAAAAGGGAAGTTGGGGTTAAATCCATGATTTAACTGTTAAAGCAAAGCAAATAATCAGAAACAATTTCAAGTTAGTAAGTAGTGCAGAGGAACCGGAAATGCACTGCTCTTTTGTTTCCGTAGTTTTGTTCTTCGTTTCCGCGATCCACTGAATGACATTCTTCTCCAGGATACTTAGAGGAAGGGCGCCATCTTTCAAAATTGTCGAATGGAAATCTTTGATATCAAATTTGGTTCCTTAAATGAAAAAAAATATTTTGATGCTGAACCATTAAAATGACTATAGTGATATCCCAAACAAAATACCCTATCTACAAAATGTCAAATACATAATGAATGAAGCAGGTATGCAAATATTTCAATACTTGTGAACATATGTATAGTTATATCTCGTTCTATATAGTTTACAAATTAATCAAAGACTTTAGATTTAATCAAAATGGTTTAATCTTAAAACATTTTAAAAATTAGCTCTTTTAAGAATTACTTAAAATTTATTTCACTATAGCCAAGTTGAATTGATAGATTAAAAATGTGGAAGAATGTATTCAACCATTTTATAGCATTATGAAGTTCTGATAATATTCACGGCACTTAACTCTAGAAATTCAAGAAGAGTTTTTTTCCTCTTAAACCTTAATGTATAAAACGTCATTATAAACTATACCTAGCTCATCTTGAGCCTTTATTCGTAATTCTTTTATTTTGAGCTCCCCAATTTTGTATGCGCATGCTTGGCCTGGCAATGTTATATATCGATCAATTTCTCTTGCTAACATGATCTCATCAGCCGAGGTGTGATTCAGCATGTACTGCATTGCTTGATCACGTGTCCAGCTACAAAGTAAGATATTTTTTTTAAATTTCAACGTGTGTATTGTATGACATGCTTTAGAAAATTATTTCTTATTAACTTACTTGAAATAATGTAAACCCGTATCGACAACAAGACGAGCTGCTCTAAATATTTCAGTCCTGTATCTTCCCATGCTGAAATAAGAACGTTTAATCAAGACAACTTTCCATGAACATATTAAATAAGCGGCTTCTTTTCAGCAGTTGCATCAAAGTTCTCAAATATTAAAAAAAATATCGGTGTTGTTTCGATGACTTTCTATAACATAAGACATACTCACAGGTCATAGTCAGTTTTGTATAAATTCAATTCTTCACCCAGCGATTCTGCATACAATGCCCAACCCTGAAAACATTGGGATACATATATTTAATAGTTAATAATGAAAGAAAGGTAATAAATATAATATCATATATAGTTTCAAGCTCAAAAAAAAAAGAACTAAAGAAGAACTGAAACATATTCTGAATACAATTTTGACAGAAATATTATGAACAAGCACATAATTTTTGCATTTTCAACCACAAGCGGTGATATCAATTATATCATTTTCATCAACATCACTTTATACGTTTCAGAATTAAAAGGACTGTGATTGTACAATATTGTTACCCAGTGCATACCAGATATATTATTACGTACCTAATCTCACAACACATATTGTCGTCTAAAGAAACACACGAAACAAAGAAAAAATTTTAACATGCAGTTTAAATTATACATGAAATATGAAAGTTCATTGCAGATGCTTTATTGCAGTTAAAAATGGTAATTCTGTGTTCAGAAAAGCACCAATTTGTCATTAATTGAACATGCGATCTCATAAAAACTGAAGATATAATTTCTGAAACCATCATCATCATTATTCATATCACTGGAAGTCATAATGGTTGGAGGACAATACACCGTATGTGCAGTGAATGTAGGCACGTATTTTCCCCAGTGACATTAAATAATTAAATAAAATATCTCTATGATACCTCAATATATGCTGTATAAAAAGGGACCTCAAAGGGAATGTTGTAGAAATGTGCATCCTTGTATTTCCTATAACTAGGGATTTTGGCATTCGACGCAACACTTATCTTAAAAAAAGCAAAAAAGGTAAATAAAGTTTACTCTCTTATAATATAACAGGAAAGAAAACAAAAATATTTTCTAAAGCAATATGTTTCACCTGTAAATGATGACCTGGATTTGTTTCATGAATAAGTAAAGCCATGAATGTGATCGAAAGTCTGTAAAGAAAGCAACAAAAATAGAATTCATATAATACATAGCAATTTTAAAGACCACTCTACCATGTGTTTACAGCCGCAACATAGAACAAATTTCATAACCCTAAGCTCTGTCTCTGCATAGCTGATTACTCATATTTATATAATAATAATATGCAATTTTATAGCTGAAACATTCAATGACACTAAAACATAGATATTAATTTTATATATCTTAAAAAATTTCTTAATTATCATAGTACGTGCTTAAAAATATGATTTTGCAAATGAGGACAGAGAGAAAACTCACAATAGTGTTGAAAAAACAGTTTCAATTTTGTATAGTAGAGAAAATTGTTGGAAGCTTCTTTCAAACCGAGTTATTCCTTTAAGCTTTAATTTGAAAAACTGTTACAGAAAGTTAACCCACTTTTGCAAATTATTAAAAATTGGAGATCTGTTGTATTTTAATTTTATAACTGATATTTTATTCAGGTTACTAAATAAAAAAGAAACGTACGATTTATTCGGGTGATTAACGTTGACAAGAAACTCTCCGGGGCGTGATCCGTCTGCCGGCCCCGGAACATATTGACCACTTATCCCCCCTGCTGGATTTGCCTTCACACTATAAAAACAAATTGTTAAATACATAAGCATTTTAACTGTAAGGTATCCAGTGGAAATATTACATGCTCAAACTTATGCATATATATTCATCACACACACACACAAATGCACACACACTATACCACATACACACTATATATATATATATATATATATATATATATATATATATATATATATATATATATATATATATATATATATATATATATATATATATATATATATATATATATATAAAATACTTACTCAACTGGTAGATCAGGAATGTCTTTGAATAATGTTGACAACTTGGGATTTATTTCGTTTGTAAGTGCATTCTTGTACCACTGTATTATTTCATCCTAAAATTGAAATATTATGTATTTTATCTAAAATAAAAATAACTTCAGGACATGTCATAAAAATCACTCTGCTTTTACAGACCATTTAGAAATATATATTTTGAAGTATTCTTACTGCAGTTTGGAAATAATACGCAGAATTATTCTTAAGGCCATCAAAAAACTCTTTTACAGAGCCCTGGTGATTAAGCTTCATCAAGACCTAGAAAAAGAAAAGATATTATTTTCTTATAATTCGGTACAAATGAATTTCTATCCGATTTTTTGATGTTCGAAATTTGACTCACCTTTTTCATTTCCGAAGAAATTCTCTCCACTTCCTGTAAACCCTTGTGATGGACTTCTTCTGGTGACAAATCCAGAGAGAGGTGCCAACGTAGACATTCTTTGTAGAATTCACCTCCATTATCCCAGCTACTTACCCCGTAACCACTTCTTACATGTTGAAAATACACCTTTTGAAATAAGATTAGAAGCGAGAGCAATTTATTGCAATCAACACAGAGAATCTTCATTGATTGAAATTCAAATAAACGAACAGAAAATTGAAGGTACAAGCAATATCAAATAACAAATGTGAAGCATAATATTTTCGCGAACAGCGGGATATATTTCAAAAATGTCAAATTTTACTTATTTTGTATAGTAACGTACATTTTCAAGGTAACTTTTTAAGTCTCTAAATTTCTGGATAATGATCTGAACAGCCGTCTCCGCTCTGTCTCTAAGTATTACTCTGTAATAGAAAAAAATGTGTCTTTATGTGCTGTTTAAAAATTTAATGAGGTTGAGGCAGTCAGGGCTTTAAGACAGACCAAGAACCCTTCTCCTTTTCTGAAATGTCTGTCGATATAAGAAAAAAATGTATTGGGATAAAAAGACAAATGCTCCTTGTTGTCGTTCAATGTGCCTTTCACCTTTGAGACTTTTAATGTTAAAATTTTTACTGTTGAAACGCCTTTCAATGCATGTCCAAATATGCTACAACATCCCTGGCTTGGTAGTCTTTCTTACAAATCTTACATTCTTATTTGATTTAGAAATTTTATAAAAATAAATACAGAAATCTTAGTTAGTATATTTTGATTACAGGAATATGGTAGAATGCCTTCTCATTAATAGAAAACTAAGAGACAGGCATTACTATTTTTCTTATGCCCTTTTCTCTAGGAAGGCGCTCAGAACATATCTTTACTCTAGAATACCCCTTTCTAAGCATACAAAAAAAAAAAAAGGTTTTTTAAAAAATGCAACCATACACATGAATATATAAGATAAAATCAGACAAAACTTAACGAGGAATCATATAAGAAATTTATTTTTAAAATATTATTTTTAAATTTTGTGTCTAAAAACCAATTAAAATATATTTTAAGAATTGTGATAAAAGAAATAGAATATTTGATATTTATATAGATTAAAATTATTCAAAAAAAACTTACTTTCTGGAATCATTCACGGTTTTTAGATTTGTCAGTTTATCTAGAAATGGCTTGTAGAGAATAAAGTTGGTATTGTTTGCACCTTTAAGAAGGCCTTCAATAGCCCCTGGGACACGGCTCTGAAATTAAAAAGAAGACAGATAATGGTAAAAATTTAAATTAAAAAAAAATCATCTCAAAATCTTTTTTTTTCAATTTAATTTCATTAATTGCCTGGCCAAAAGTTTTACTTTGATGTTCTTCCTTTATTTCCGTTGTGTTCTTTAAATTCATGAAGATTTTAAGATTTAAATTTAAATCAAAATCATATTAGTACACTATATTTCAGGTTGTGTAACACGTAATTCTGTAATTTTTTAAAAGCAATTTTTACGACTGGATATACATCAGGTGTTGAATGTTTAAACAATACTGCTGAATGATCCGATTTTTCTATACATACCACCGAAACATTATTATATGTGTGTCCTTTTTCTATTGATTTATTAAATCGTATTATCAATTGGTCCATCTGAAATGTAAAACGATTTTATCTATTGAATGTTTATTGATAATGATGTAAACATTTATACCCAAGGTAATTCTTTTCAGTGTATATTTTGATACTTATTGTCATAAAAAAAATTAATTCAATTCATAGTGATGAATAGACGGCCTTATATTTATTCATAAAATTATATAATGATAAGAGTAACAGAAATTCACCTCATTTGGATATGCTTCCAGTCGATTAAGGTAGTTTTCATAGTCACCCACTGTGTCAAATGGTGTTATTTGTACATAATATGGTAGCAATACGTGTGGACTTTCGAGAAAGTTAACCGGGTTCAACGCACTGTAACTAAATTTAATAAGACAATTAAAATACAAAGAATAGAATTATAAAATTTGAAGTCTGCTGAAGCTTAAGATAATTTGAACATAAATTGTATTAAAAATGGATGTTTTGAAAAAAAAATCAAATTATGCATTTAATTGGCTTTGAATTGAATTTAGAACTTCGGGTTTTTGTTTTGATGCCAGTTATCTGCCAAGAACAAATAATTAATATGATTAAATTTCCTTAAAATGCATATTAAATATTAATTTTCTTTATTCCAGTTCTATATGTAGTAAAAAGTACTTACTCTCTCCAATCATATCCATTAATAACCGTTGATAATATGTCGTTTAAGATATCGAAATCTGTCTTTTCCTCTGGTGTAAGTCGATCGTAATCAATTTTTTTCAAATTGCTTAGAAGACTTACGTATTTGTTCTAAATTAAACATTTTACTAATAATTATTCTTTTGTAAATGGTGATACAAGATAATTCACACGCTACTTTAAAATAGTATTTATGATATAAATATTTATCTTGTGAACTTAATATAAAATTAATAATATCACACCTTGCACATTCACATTTTGTAAAATTAATGTTTCACAAAGAGTTCTTAATTTCTATTAAATTAAAAAAAGGATACATTAAAATATTTCTTACATATTCATTCTGGAACCTGTCATATGAAAAATCTTCCACCCGGTCATTGTATTTGTAAACGCCTATTAAGGTAGAATACTCGGGGGAACGCTTCAGTAACCAAGCCCCAAATTCCTTCTTAAGGTCATCGAGATTAGATGACAAACCTTCACCTTGAAAATAAAAACAAATTCATGTACGTTATACATGTTATCTTTAATTTAATAAAAAAAATTACCATTGATTTTACTGTATATCTTTCCTTAGTGCTTTAGATAAGTCAACTCTATGTTTATGCTCATAATTTAGAAAAGATGACAAAAGTGACGAAATTAATGAAACGAAAAGACGGTTAAAATATGTGTTCTAAAAGGTGATTTTTAACTATTATGATATAATGCCAAAATCTGCAGATAACGAAATTATTGATAAACCTACTATAAATTAATACATGTACAAAATTTCAATGATAATAAATAGTGTTTTTTTTATTATGTGAAATTTTCCTTAACTAGTGATAAAATATTCTGAAAAACTTCATGAAACATTTTCATTGATTAAAGATGAAGAAAAAACAATCTTGCATAGAGAAAATCAGTGGCGGATCCAGGAAGGGGGGGGGCAGTAGAAGGCGGAGATCTGGGGGCTGCATTGAAGCTTAAAATGCTTGTTATACAAGCAGAATTTCAAAAAAAAAATCAAACGGGGAGGGGGGGGCGCACCGGTGCTGGATTCGCCTTTGTAAATAAATGAAGTGGAACGGTGTTAAAAATTCATTCGGAGGCCATGGTCTTTTTTTCAGAACAACAAAGATCACTTCAATTCAAGTATCTTTCACATGTTTATGTTGTGAATCGATCCACATTTTGTATCACTGGAAAGAAAATTTTATATCAATAAATAGAAAATACTCTTACCTCCCTTTATGAAAAATAGCACGAGAAACACCGTCAGTCTCAAATATACATTCATTCTTCTGAAAGTAAAAACTATATATAATTACATTACGAAAGTATTCCTCATTTTGTAAACACAATAAAACACTTGTTGTCCAAATAAATGAAAACCTACCTATAAACAATGACCTGTCCCAGTTAAAGAGATTGAAAGGGCATTTGTTATTGTTGATTTATATGCTAAATGAGGCCTTCTAACCCAGGTAAACTTTAAAATTTACTGGACCTGAACGTACTTACCTAAAGAATTTTATTGTGATCCGATCTTCTCGTACAATCTTTAAAAATCTTGAAAGAAAACAGTGTCTATAATTTCCTCCTGAAGTTATAACAAAGTTACAATTGCATATCGGTACATGGCCAACTTTATTGGACCTATGTGCACTAATATATGAATTTATGCTTACTTAGGAATTTTATAGCAATCAATAAAAAACTTCATAGAAGGTACGTAAGTCTGAAAGATTATATGGCGATGACTGATAATGGTTATTTTATTTCATGTCGTAGGAGATGCAGAGATTGACCAAACAAAATCTAAAAATTAAAACTAAGGCCTCGCAGCGCGTCAACCTGCCTCATTTCTCGCCTACAGCCTTGGAGGATGGACTTTTCTAAAAAAAAAAAAAAAAAAAAAAAAAAAAAAAAAAAAATTGTAAGTTACCTTTATCCGTCCCGCCTTCACCAAATTTTCTTGCTGTTAATTTATATTTGTATGTGTTTTCAGACCCATTCAAGCCCGTAATAAGCAATTTCACTTGGGGGGGGGCATACATTTTCAGTTGCGGGCACTATCAACTACCAAAAATCCTTAAGAGCAAAATAAAAAAAAAGTCATCAGTCATTATTATTGAGGGTGCAAAAGTATATTAGTAGCTGATTCTATATAGTGTTCTATATATCGGCAAAATTATTGGGTGACACGGCCCACCGTGCACCCCCGGTTCCTACGGTCATGCAATTTTCATAGTTTTTCTGTTAAGTCCAAGCTTTAATTATGTGTAATTTGGATTATCTCCCTTTACAAAACTCGTTTATTTCCCATATTTATATTTTGTAACTGTTTAAATTATATGCCTTTATAATAATTTTGGAGAAATTCAAGCAAATTAGTGAATGTCATATAGGTTGCAAAACATGAAAAACTGTTTTAGAGGATTTTTATTCTTTGTAGGAGGGTAAAACATTGTGTTTTAGTGTAAAGAGGATTATGAACAGAAAACAAAACACTTTTTTGGGTTCCTTGGGTATCAAAATACTTATTGCATTAATATATATTGAGTTTACTGTGCTCTGAGTCAAGAAACTAAATGTTAAAAATATCATGCAAAATAAGAACAATCTTTAAGTCATAAAAATGACCTACAAATGATACAAGACCTGATAACGTATGTTTCATCCGAATATATATTTGAGTAATGCTACATGGTAGGTTAAATGTTCTTCATCGTAAAAATGATCTATGCACAAGGAGTTAACCAAATGAAAAAGAAACCTTAGAATATTGTGGTCTGTCCATTTGTCTGCTTTTCTATCAACACTTTTCTGTGACACATTAGATTTTATTGTAACGTTTTAGAATTTTATTAAAGAAATGATTTACAATGAGAAAAATGTATTTATAAATTTAAAAGTCGTATTGGTTATCTGTCTGTATGTTTGATTAATGTATGATTATGTTTTAAGATTTGTAGTTATTATACACATATAAGTAATTTTTGACATGTCACCTTACCATCTTTATGTACAATATTTAATTCTAAACATACATGAATTAAGTACAGTTGTAACTTTCCAACAACAGCCCTAAGCGGGCACTCTCTGATTCTGTATATTGAAAATCATTTAGTGTATATTTATTGTGAACAAAATGATAGGTACACACATTTTCCTATTTTCATTTCCGTATACTTAGGATACCATTTCAAAATATTACTCGAAATATTTGTCACTATTTGTTACCAATGATAACTTTTACTACTCCCACAACTCAATTTGAGAAATTTTAGTCAATATCTTCATCGTACTAACATTTTTATACTTTTACTATTTTTGCAAAAAAAAAAAAAAAAAAAAAAAAAAAAAAAAAAAAAAAACCTTTATCAATGAAAGGGGGTCGAACCCTGTTTCAGTAGCTGTGATATCATCTGATAATTGATAATATATTTTTGTATTGCTGTAAATTTTTCGATTCTTCACTAATCGGATTCTTTGATTTATTCAAAAACTTTTTCTATAGCCTTCATCTCAACATTTAAATATATCGACGATGTATTATCAATTAAAATAGTTTCTTTCATTCCTATGTCGACTTGATATATCCCAGTGAATTTAATAAAAGATACCACAGAGTCTGACACATCTATTTCATATTTGGATGTTTTATTGACTATAGACGATAAGGGCCACCTGAGAACTAAATTGTTTGACAAATGAGATGATTTCAACTTTTCCATCGTCTACTTTCCGCGACACTTTGAAATGAAAGTTGCGGGGTCTTTCGGATAAGGGGGGTGTATACTGTCAACAGGGGATGCTAACTCCTCCTAGGAACCTGAATCCACCTCTGGAATTTTCGGGAGTCCGTATTATATGCCTTCTTCACAGAATTGCATTGTTTATAATTTTTTCGAGATCAATCACTGTTCGTTATCTTCATCTTTTTCACTGAGTTAATTGTTGAAAACTTAAAACCCTTGTTTGAGGTAGGATATATGTCATTTCTGTGTATTTAAAATATAGAGCCTATATGGTTTCTATGCATTCAAAATATTGAGCATATTTATTTTATTGAAAAATTATAGATAGCATAATGATGAATAAGCGTTAACTATATTTACATAGAATATATTATTGACTTATACATTGGCAGTGATCAATATTAAATGCACTAGAATCAGGCTTAAAAATAATTCCGGTTAATTCATAAACAAATTTTAAACACATGAAAAATTCTTACTTTATCTACACTATGACATAGATCTCCAGGAAATAACTATTTTTTGCCTTGAATAATTTCTTGCCATTGTGGAGACTTTAGTTTTACATTGAATTGCATCTTTACATTAAAAAGTCAGTAGAATAAAAAAAATATGTAAAATGTACATTGATTTCTAACAAAAAATAAATCGTTGAAATTTTAAAATGCATTCAAATTTATGTTGTTTAAACAAAAAACTAAATAAAATGTAAACAAAATTTTAAAAAAAAAAGAAGAAGATGTTTATAGAAAATGACCCCTCCCAATCTGCAACTACCAGAAATTAAACGAATGAGTTTGAACGTTAATTTTTTTATTATGAAAAAATTTATGAATTTATGAAACAAAATGAAATTATTTCGCATTACATAAACATGTGTATTGCTGAACGATTCTGTATGTAAATTGTAGTGGCTCCCTATACAATCAAAAAATCTTAAAGCAGTGGATTTTGTGAATTGGAATGTTGATCGTTAACATAATCTATTAAAATAAATGCTAGAGAATTGATATGCAGTCGACTATTCATGTAAGTTGTGAGAGGACTGCACATTACTTATCTCTCGTACCATTGTCTATCATTGAAAATAGTTTTATTGCTTATATAATTACATGCATAAAAAAGGATTTTATAACCAAAATTTAATAAGACACATATAAAAAGTACGAAATATTTAACTGATATAAAATCAAATACAATTAAAAAAAGATTTTAATGGAAGTAATATACATTGATCAATTAAAATTTTACTTACACTGGTAAAATAAAATACATTAAACCCATACTTAATAACACAAATCAAGATCCGAACGTTCAGGCAGGACAGATGATTAATTCAAAAGAAAAGAAATACTAATGAAAATAACTAGCAAAAATTTAAAACTGATTTCCTTTCTAAAACCACCGGAAGTGCACTGGTTTTGTTTTTCTGCAGGTTTGTTTTTTGTTTCTGTAATCCATTGATTAACATTCTTTTCCAATACATTAAGGGGAAGAGCTCCATCTTTCAAAACAACGTAATGGAAGTCCTTGATGTCAAATTTTGAACCTTTAAAAGTAAAAAAAATACCAAATTACATTGATGACTTTTAAGTTTTATAGCCAATTATTATCTTTTCTTTTCCTTTGTTAATAAGAAAGGAAAACCCTATGTCATTGAAGCAAGTCTTAATAATTTGGTAGCATTTATAAAATACTTTTAATTCCACCATAATTTAATTTTATTTATTTATTTATTTTCTTTTTTTTGCTTAACAATATTGTCTGCTTCTTAATATAATTTAATATATTCTCAATATAAAAATAAATTCAAGATAGAAAAAAACAGGTGCACTGTAAAATAACTTTCTTTGTACACATTAAGTATTGAATTACCTAGTTCGTTTTGTGATTTTTTGCGCAATTCTTTTATCTTGAGTTCACCTATCTTGTATGCGCATGCTTGACCTGGCCACGTAATATATCTGTCGATTTCAGTCGTAATAGAACCTTCACTGTATGCTGTGTAATTCAGCATATATTGTATGGCTTCTTCTCTTGTCCAACTTCAATGGAAAAAATATCAGAAGATCCAAAATCTAGTTTTAAAAATTTTATCAAGATTTATGAGCGATATGTCTGTTAAAGCACAAAGAAAACAGAGAAAGAAATAATAATTAAAATTCATTGACACTGTACTAAATAGAAAGAAATTATTAAATTAAAAATATGCTTGTTTCATAATTCCCCGATTCCTTTTACTGCAATTTAACATTTATTTTAAATAAAAATGAGCAAATTTATTACAAAAATTTTAATTTATATTACTTCTTTACTTTTTTGACACGCCTTATTAGGTGGTTCTGTCACACAAAAACTTAAAAATGCAAATCTCCTGTCAATACTGGAAATTTGATCTTTGAGAAAACCCACACTGGTTTTGCTTTGTATACCATCGCCAAAAATGTGAAATATATATACAAACTTAAAGTAATGCAATCCTGTATCGACAACAAGACGACATGCTCTAAAAATTTCCGATCCGTATCGTCCCATTCTGAAAATAGAAATGAAATTATGAAATCGTCTTCAATAATTTAATAGAATAAGTTGACTGCTAGGCCTAGAAATTAATTTAAAAAATCAATTATGAAAATTGTTCATTTCAGAATCCTCTAGATCTTAGCTTGAAGGACTCCACTTACAGATCGTAGTCAGTCTTGTACAAGTGCATTTCTTCTCCCAAAGATTCAGCATACAATGCCCATCCCTGCATTTCAATGCAAAATAAAATGTCCATCATTACAAATTTCCATAACAAGGGCAGAATTCATAATCACACCAGGGGCGAGAACTGACTGCAATATTTCGAAGTATAAAATCTGCTTTTACTGCAGGTTGCACAACAGTATTAAATTTTGCTATATATTCTTACCAAAAATGAGCAACTTTGAGTAGGTGGTATTAATTGAAAACAAACTTCTGAGAAGTTTCCTTTTCAGATCTTGTAAAACAATTCTTTATAAAGATTTTAGTACCAAAAAATACATAGCCATCCAGCAAGGCACGCAAGTTTGTCTCGCTCGAAGTCGAGCAGGTGCTTGAAAATCAAGTCCAGGACCTAATCACTCCCCACTCAAATACAATATATAGAAAATTCAGCACGCCCTAAATTTTAATGAATCTAGTCAATATAGGAAGTTTACATATTGTTTTTCATCTCATAAAAAAATTCAGCTCCAGTCTCGTGTTAAAATGCCCGAATCGGAAGGGAAGATTCAGGAATTATTTTGCGTCAGCCATGATTTGACGTGAACCTCAAGTGAAATACTGTTATGACACCTGCAATAAGAGTGAAAATTTTTGCTTGCCAGAATAATGCTATTTTCCCGATCTGTAATGAATATGCAATGTAATAAAGCAAGTTTCATAAAAATCCGTCTCAAGGTAGGAAAAATATTGGCGACACTCGGTGACAGGGGTGTTCGCGGTGAACACGGATTTCTAAAAATATGGCAAAAGTTGAACTGTATGTAATGATCTTGCGCATTGAACTTTTGTTGTTTTTTGGTCTCAAATTTTTAATTAATGCATACTGATTCACATAAGGATTAAAAATTATTTAAAATATGTTTGCTGTTTATAACAGGGCGAAAGAAGTAGTCTTTGTCATAAGGAAGGGGGGTGGGGTTAAAAAGAGCATTGAAATAATACATATTATTGAAATATCATGGCATTTTCTGCTTAATTACGATTGCTTTGCCTAAATAATTCTTTTTACGAACCAGATTTCTTTATCTGTTACCACTGTGTTCCAAATCAACGGATATTTACACATATTCAGATTTTTTATTTTGCTCCGGGTTTAGTCTAAATTCTTTAAATTTATAGATTTTGAAATTGTTTATGAGTAAATAATGTTAACGAGTGTGATGGCAAGGGATTTGTTAAAGTATCCTCTAATTTTCATGCATTTCTTTCAACCCGATACATCGAAATCAGGCCCTTGTGTGGTCAAGATAAATTATTTTAGAGGAAATCTGGACTAATTTTCTATGCTCCATTAAACGCGAACGAACAGCAATGACGGCCAAAAAATGCCATTATTTCTCATTTTCCGTCTAAACTCACGAAATTAAACCTTAAATTATAGACTACAATATTTCGAAGTATAAAATCTGCTTTTACTGCAGGTTGCACAACAGTATTAAATTTTGCTATATATTCTTACCAAAAATGCGCAACTTTGAGTAGGTGGTATTAATTGAAAACAAACTTCTGAGAAGTTTCCTTTTCAGATCTTGTAAAACAATTCTTTATAAAGATTTTAGTACCAAAAAATACATAGCCATCCAGCAAGGCACGCAAGTTTGTCTCGCTCGAAGTCGAGCAGGTGCTTGAAAATCAAGTCCAGTACCTAATCACTCCCCACTCAAATACAGTATATAGAAAATTCAGCACGCCCTAAATTTTAATGAATCTAGTCAATATAGGAAGTTTAAATATTGTCTTTCATCTCATTAAAAAATTCAGCTCCAGTCTCGTGTTAAAATGCCCGAATCGGAAGGGAAGGTTCAGGAATTATTTTGCGTCAGCCATGATTTGACGTGAACCTCAAGTGAAATACTGTTATGACACCTGCAGACTATGTTTTACTGCTCTAAGAGTAAATTATACACCAATGCGAACTGATTACTCCATGTCAGACATGCAAGTGGACGTACATGTAAGGTAAACAATGTGAAATAAATTGGAACATTAAAGACGCAAAACACGCACAAGTCAACAATGCACACACCTGTAAGCTTTCAGAGATGATTGGGTTTTAATCATCATTATCATAGATCATGATATTATATTATTTTTTTGAAAAAAAAATAGTTAAGGACTAATGACCCTCTGCTCCAAATTTCACGAAAATTTTTTAAACTTCCCAACATTGATTTTCATCAAGAGCTATAGCATCAAAATCAAATGAAAAATAGTATGAGGTACGAAGCGCTGCTTATTTTTTCATAAATGATTTTTATGTCAGATCATAATATGAAGAAATTTTAACACAGAGATAAGAAAGAGTAATAATTTATTATCACAACATAAAATTAGAAATACGCGGTGTATATGAAAATAATATTTAGTGTCATACTTACTAAATTCATATTAGAAAACATAATGAAGCGCTGCTTCCTAAGTCAGAATATCACAATGTTATATGTGGTTGTAAGAAAACAATACATCTGTTAACAAGAGTTATCTTTCTTATAAATATTTTTTTCAATGGAAAAAAATGTAATACTGATAAAAATGCTACATTTGGTACTTGATACATTAAACCATTTTTAAAATGATCCTTAAAAAGATAGAACTTATTCAATTTTTAAAGGTTTTAAAATTGGATTTAAATGTTTTGTTTTTTGTTTTTGTTTTTGTTTTTTTTTTTTTTTTTTGTCAAACATAATAAGACAATTTGAAAAGTACAGTCAAAGGAAATAGAAGGTAATGTTTCCATCATAGGTTAAGTTTGATTGAATTGACTGCTCAAAGGTCTCGATAATTAAAATCTGATAAAGTAAACTATGAGTAAAACTAGGATATCTTACTTGGAAAGTTATCTCTCTTATCAGAGGGTCGGTCCCCCTTAAATCTTGAAAATATATTACAGTATAATGATTAAAATCCACGCAACTTATGATCTAGGGTCCCGTTATAAGAGGGATTTTATACTTGGACCAAGTTGGTCGCAATACTCTGTTTCATGAATTACAGGTTATTGATCAGGTCCGACACAATCTCCTGATTAAGCTATATAGCTTGATTTAGCTATATAGCTTTATTAAGCTATTCAGAATAGCCTGATTTAGCTATTTTATCACACTTTTTTCTCAAATGTGTTATTTTCCAAGTTTCCAAGTATGTATGCACCTTGGTGCAGTGATGATATTCAACCTTGAACTCTTATGAAAATAATGCATGTAAAAATCACTCATCAAATTGCGTCTCCTTAAGAGACTTTGTACTCAAAGTTCTAAAAGTTTTGGGGGCTATATAAAGCAATTGATACAGTTACCTCTTCAATGAAATTATAAAGGAGGCCAATTATGGTCAACAAGATAATTGATTGGTAATAATTCAGTACAATGAGAAGCAATCATACTTATCCATGCCTTAACTCACACAAGGTAGTGTACAGTTACCCAAACAATGGAAATTCATCTTTTGCTTAAAAGTATTCAAATGCTGCAATGTTAGAACTATCTTTGATTTGGGTTGTTGATTTGATAACCCATATTACATATATGAATAGTCAAATACTTGCGACGTTTTGTCTATTTTGTACAAATAACAATTTTGTGAAAACCTGCATATAAATAGCTTTATCAAGCTATTTTGAATAGCTTAATAAGGCTATATAGCTATTTCAAGCTATAAAGCTTAATCAAGAGATTGTGCCAGACCTGTTGATTGTTAAACATTATCTTGATTAGTTCTCCAAATTCACTCTGAACTATTAAGTAAAAAAAAGTATTTGGTCTGAGGTGTACTTTTGTACTAAAAATCCTGTTACAGTATTTGAAAATGTCACCAATTTAAGAATATTATATAGTCCCAGCAACAATAAAACTTTTAGGGATTTTTTTCACTTGTTGACAAAAATTAAATGATAATTTTACTAATTAATTAAACGAATTAAAAAGGATTGAATTTAATTATAGTTGACCTACATTTATTGTACATGTATGTAAAAGTACCATTAATATAGAAAATATACAGCTTTCTCAAACACAGCCAGCTTTTCACACACATGTAAAACAATTTTTATTAACCTACATGTAACATAGCTGATAACACTCAAACTTGTCATTAATGTACATGTAATGTGTGGTTTTTAATACATGTAAACCATGCATATATTAACGTATGTGTAACGTGTGGTTGATAATAAATGTAAACCCTGTGTGTGAAATATGTGTAATGTGTGGTTTATAATACACATGTAAACCGTGCATTTATTAACGTATGTGTAACGTATGGTTGACAATACATATGTAAACCACGTGTTCATTAACGTATGTGTAACGTGTGGTTGACAAAACATGTAAACCATGCGTTTATAAACGTACGTGTAACTAGTGGTAGCACATACCATATGTAACACGTACGTGAAACGTACGTAACACGTACGTGTATTCGAACGGCACGTTTCAGGTACGTTATGTGAAACGTATGTTGTCACACGCACGTTATCCTTACGTTATACCACGTACGTGTAACGTGCGGTTGGAATACACGTATGTGTTACATACATTTCACGTACGTGTAACATATGATATGTGCTACCATACGTTACACGTACGTGGCACAATTAGCTGTGTATGATACTTATACATTTATCATATGAGCAGTGCATTTAACAAACATGTTAAACGCATGTTTCTAAAAACATACGTTACACACACGTTGCACGTACGTTATTTATACGTGAACCATATGAATAACGTACGTGTGCAACATGTGTGTAACGTATGGTAGTCAATATGTATGTTTAACGTACGTGTCACGCATGATATTCATACGTGTGAAAACGTACGTTTAACATACGTGGTGCTTTTTTCATGTGATACGTACGTGAAGTCACGTACGTATCACATACGTTTAACGTATGTGATACGTACGTGGCACATTTTGCTGTGTAAAGTATCTTATTTGCACATTATTTTTTTTTTAATTTCTCTGATAAAATGACCGAAAAATTGTATAAAAGAATTAAAGAGTAATATCGGTCTTTCAATGCTGAAACCATAGTTAAAAAGGGATGTCTGAAAGATCTATTAAATAAAATTCTGTTGTGGCATTCCTCCTTAACATGAGAACATAGATTGTTGAAAAAATCCAAGATCTTAGAATGATACTAGTCAAATAATGTTTCTTGAAAATGTTACCCTTATGCCTAGGTTACATTTAAGCCGATGGTCGGGCGACCAAATTTTTCTCGTATCGTCGTCTGAAAAACATGATCGGCCGACAGTAGTATCGGGCGACGCGGAGCAGTCACATTAATTCCTAAGAACACCGATAATTTTCAAATATTAAAATAATCTAAAGTCGGCCAACAGTCGCCCGATCATAGTTCGCTAAGTCGCAGTTGGATTTTCACCGTCGAAAACCCAATTCCTAAATGTCGACCGACCGACTTAGGGAACTGTCTGCCGATGGTCGGACGATGATCGGAGGATGGTCGACAGACTATTCAACGACTGCTTCAATTGAAGGAATCGGCCACCGACGCAGAAAAAATTATAACATGGCCCGACAGACACAGAATTGGTCGGCCGACGAAAAAAGAGTTCAAAATCGGGCAAGACAACGGCCGATGAATAGCCGATTGTCGCCCGAAGAATCCTATTTTTGCCTCAAAAACCGTCGGCCGTTGGTCGCTTTTGGAAATATGACTGGGGTGTTATGAGATAAACCAAAAACACTTCTACTAAATGTGCAATTTCTTTCACTACAGACTGCATGTATAAAAATCTTTTGTTTTGACCTCGAAAAAAAGTTTCTAACGGGACAAAATAATACATTTAAATGCTAGTTAAAACAAAATGTAATACATATTGTAACTGCTACATCTATATGTATATATATCTTAAGACTAAGAATTATCTGCTAAGTATCACTACAGATTCACTCTCACCTCTAAATAAGCAGTATAAAAAGGAGGAAGTGCCGGGGGTTGGAAATATTTGTCATCATGATTCTGTCTACGGTATGCTGGACCAGCCTGAGTGGACTGGATACTGCCCTGAGGGTGAAAAAATATAACTTTACTTGTTAGGCACTAATAATTGACCACGAGGAAGAAGATTGCTCGCCTCCTCAAATCCGATAAATCGATTAGAGAAAAATCAAGAAGGACGTATTTAAAAATGAAAGATCATGGTATTTTTAAGTCCCCTCCCTTTGTTTCATGTTAGTTTGTTAACATAACATTATTTGATGTTCAATATTGAAAAGAAGATTTACAGAATCAGTCCATTAATTTGTTTTATAGACACTTTAAAATATAAAATATCTTCATCTTCGTCCAAGGGTACAAATATTTCTTTATCTGTATAAGAAAGGCAAATAAAGTGACAAAAAGTCACCAAAACATTAAGTTCTAAAACCGTAACAATGATTCTCTTTAACAAATTATTAGTCCCCTACCGGTGAAACTGGAGGGGACTATAGGTTTCTTCTGAGTTTGTCCGTCCGTCTGTCTGTCCCTCTGTCTGTCTGTCAGTCTGTCCCACTTGGTTTTCCGCACTTTTTTTTCTAAACGCTTGCAGATATTGAGCTGATGTTTGGTATGTGAGTGTATCTTGATGAGTTACAGATCAAGTTTGCATTTCGTTCCGCTTCAATGATTTTTGATTGAATTACGACCTTTTCAATTTTTCAGGGTTTTCAACAATTTTTTTCTGAACGCTTGCAGATACTGAGGTGATTTTTGGTATGTGATTCTACCTTCAATGAGTTTTGACGGAATAACGACCTTTTCAATTTTTCAGGGTTTTCCACAATTTTTTTTTCTGAACGCTTGCAGATATTGAGCTGATTTTTGGTATGTGACTCTACCTTGATTAGTTATAGATAAAGTTTGCATTTCACTCCATTTCATTGCTTTTTGACGGAATTATGGCATTTTCATTTTTTTTACGGGAACCAGATTAAACTTGCCGGTAGGGGACTACTATTACTAATGCAATACTTTCAGAATGCTTGTTCAAATTACTCTAATTAATGTTCAAACTTGAGTAAAAATAAAATAACCCCTTTCCCAAGAATAAAAAATTGAGTGTAAAACATATTTTCTTAGATGAAATATGAAGATAACGAACAGTTATCAAGCTCAAAAGTCCATTAAAACAATATAAATCGGGAGCAGAGCAAACACGGACCTCTAAAAACATCTGAGGTGCGATCAGGTGCCATGGAACTATAAAAGGGCAGGTAGTTTTTGAAATGCTCATGATAAATTTTCTTACCTGCAAATGATGACCTGGTATTGTTTCATGAAGCAATAGAGCCATGAAGTCTATAGTTACTCTGTAACCGACAAACAAATATTAATGTAAATACCCTTTGAATTGTAAGTATTTAAGTTACATTTAATTGTTTTGCATTCTGAGTAAGATGATGTTAAAATAAATTTGAACTTATTGATGTCATTCTCAAAGAGTTATATAATGCAAATAAGAGAATGCACTAAAATCATGGTTTTTTGTTTATGTTATATTACTTGTATCATCTTCATAATTGAATGCAATTTATGTTTGCAAAACAAACAATAATAGCAACAAATTAAATACAATAAAAATATAAGATAAATAAAAACAAATACAAAAAAAATAAATATAATTAAGAGCAGTTGTTAATTTTTTTTTTATTAATCGTGAACGTAAAAAAATACATGGATAAAACTTAAACATAAATTATACGTAATGGATGCCATTTCTTATAGAAATGTTAATGATTATTTAAAGAGTAAGTGTTAGTTTTATGGTGTATTTGAGGGAGGATGATTGGAACATAAGCCACAAATTTGAATCTCTTTTAGACCATGATAAGTGTCATTCGCAGAAAATGGTTTTATAATAAAGCAATATCTGTCCTTTGAATAACAATTTTTCTAATTTTAATATAAGTACATGTGGACCTACGTGTATACAAATAAAAAATGAAGTTTTGTTTTATAGCAACAGTACTCTAATTTACTAAAAATAAATAAGCATTAGTAAATACAAATATTTTATCGTTTTCTGCTCAGTATTCTTGCTTTAAAAAATAGTACTGAGCTTAAAATTAAGTTAACGTTAATCTTACTTGATACATAAGAAGCTCTGCTCTGACATAAGCGACATAAAAAAAATAATAGGATTTTCCCTAAATATGGCGACATAAACTTACGATTTATTCGGATGAAAAACATTGACTTGGAAGACTCCGGGGCGTGAACCGTCTGGGGGTCCAGATAAATACTGACCTCCAATCCCATCTATTGGGTTCGGTTGAACACTAAGAAAACAACGCAACAGAAGGGAAATGAATAATTTTTAAAACTGTTTTTACAAATGTATACATAAAATAGAAAATTGTCGTCATTTTGGCTCAGAAACGTGCCTGACTGTAAATAAAAAAGCATTTAAACATTTCCTTTCGTTAGTGAAACAATTACTGATGGTTTGTTTTCATATTTTTACTTTTTAAATCTTGAAATATCGACTAATCGGCCGATTTGATGCTTTACGTCACTTTATTAACTTTTTTTTAAAAAATGATGAGGTATCACTTTATGAACTGATGATCAAGATCATATTGGCTTCGTTATTTGTAAACTCAACTCCCAAGCTCCCAGTATGACTAATGGAAAAATAAAATAAATTGACATGTTTATCGATAAATATGTAAAAAAAAAAAAAAAAAAAAAAAAAGACTTTCTCTAACAAAAGATGTTTTAAATATACTTACTCTACCGGCAAATTTGGAAGGTTTTTAAAAAGAGTTGGTATTTTTGGTTTTATTTCCTTTTCAATTGCATTTTTATACCATTGAATTATTTCATCCTGCAAAAATTATCATTAACTTGATGAAAAGTGAACATAAAATAATATGCAATATTGAAAAATAACTTAAATCTTATAAAGATAAATGATTGAATCATTCGTTACTGTATTGTTTCACAAAATCCTTACGCCAGACTTCAGGAAAAAAGACGAATTTGCCTTAACGTCATCAAAAAACTGCTTGACAGAACCATGATGATTAAGTTTCATCATGACCTAAACCAAAAGCAAAATGTACTGCATGTAAAATGAAAGAAAAACTTCATAAAAAAGATCTCTTAATTTTGTCCCTATAAAATCTATCTAACCTTTTTCATTTCTGTCGAAATTCTCTCAACTTCTTGTAATCCTTTATTGTGCACATATTCCGGAGACAAATCCAAAGAAAGGTGCCAACGTAAACATTCTTTGTAGAATTGTCCTCCTTTATCCCAAGTACTTACTCCAAATCCTGGTCTTAGATGATTAAAGTACACCTTCAAAGATAGTTAAAATATTCACTTTCACTATTCACTATTCACTTTTCAGATAAGTTAAAAGAAGTTCCCAATTATCTAAAACAATTATAGTAAACAAAAAATAATTTGGAAAAAAATATACATGCAAAGAACATGAAACTCCACTTACATCCTCTAGATACGATTTGAGGTTCCTGTACTTCTGGACGATGTTATTAACAGCCTCTTTGGCCCTGGATCTGATATCTGTTCTGACGAACAAAATAACAAATATGAATAATGAATCATGAATAAATGCAATCTTCGAAAAAAAATTATGCAAAGAAAATTTAATGGAAAAACAAAAGATTGGTATTTGACTTGACTTTAATAACGGTTATATAGGGCAAAACATTATTATAATCGTGAATTATCATGTAAGAGGGAAGTACAATCCTAAAGCAAAGTTAAAGTTGACATGAACTCTTCAATACGGATCATCCTTGTACGACTTGATTTATACACTGTGTCTGTTCGCCTTTCTCCGCAATATTTCTTTCAAATTCCTTTTCTTATACCATACCACCTATATGGCGTAATGCATTTGTGACACTTGAGTTATTACCTGGTTTGGCTCTCAACTTGTACATATATTCGATTGTAAAGTATTAGAAGGTATGTATTATGAATTGACCGAAAACATGTTTCAAACTCAAATTCATTATAATAACTGAAACAAACTTGAAAACTAATAAGAGGTACATTTTGAATATTTAAATTACAAGGAAAAAATAATTACACATGTTCACATGTGCATGCATGAGAAGCATGCCAGTACCTGGGATATTGGCACCGGTGTTACATACTAGCCTTACCCATAGCCATCTTTCTCCCGGAAAACTGACTATAATTATAGTAGTTTTTCTCCTCGGAATCTGATTAAACAGTAGATCTTTCCCCAGGGAAAGCTGGTATTGGGGATATATTATATATATATATATATATATATATATATATATATATATATATATATATATATATATATATATATATATATATATATATATATATATATATATATCCAGTAAAAGCCCTGTCAAATCAAGCAAGAAAGAAAAAAACATTCCATCTAAAATGGTGGAAATGTCATATTTAGAGCAATTTAAAAAATAAAGTCTCGGGAGAGGCCCCCGGAAACCCCCATACCATTTCCTCCCAATTTGGACCTCAACCCCCAACCCCCCCCCCCCCCCCCCCCGGAATTCAGGGGTCTGCCACTGGCTTTAAAAAATCAAATCCGATTTTATGTCAACCGAATAAAGAGGATGGCTGCATGTTCATTTACAGTCAATAATCACTTCTAAGGTTTTAATATGAAATCTTACTTTCTTGTATCCGAGATTGTTTTCTTATCTGTCAGTTGTTTATGAAATGGCTTGTACATTGTATTATTTACATCTTTAAGGATGTCATCTATCTGCTTTGGAACCCTGTTCTTTGATGGAAGTAAAAAAAAAATAATTACTCTTCCACATCTCTCTGTCTCTCTCTGAACGTGTATGCGCGTTTACCGATGTATTGACTTTTAATCATGATTCGGATCAGCAAACATTAAACAAGATAAACGAAAATCACGTAAATATGGCCGTAAAATGTTGTAAAAAATGGGTCCTACAAGTACGTACATATTTTTTCAAACCAAGAAAAAAATACTCAAACCTTTATTTGCTTAACTAAAATGAGATTCGTCCTTGCAACGAGGAACAAAACATTAATTGTCTGATTTGATAAATCTTTTAAGCACGAGGTTGTAAATGACGAATCCGTTTATTTGCAGCTGATACTAAGTCGTGTGAGTGAATCCTTATGTAAAACTACATATGCATTGATTTTCTTTTATTTTTTGTATTTTGATTTGTTTTAGCTAATTGCCACTAGCTTTTGGCATACATGTAAAATGTAAGTATGATGAAACAAATTATACGTTAAGCAATTTTAACCTTCAAGATCTTTAAATATTGAAATTCATTTTTTATAAAAACTTTAAATTTAAAGAATATGTAATAGTATAGACGTAGATAAGGAGTTCCCTTTTTATGTTTTTTAACACGAGAATGTGAACTTATCAATTTATGTACAATGTAGATTAGGCCATCTTTAAAAAAATTATTTGGTTGCCCTCTCCCGACCGACTGGCTAAAAATGGCCCGACTCAAAACTATTTTTAACCTCCAGGAAGCAATTATTTTTTTTTATGTATCCTGGATAATAATTTTTAAAAATTTAGCATTGAAATTGAAATTTGCTGAGAAAAAAATTTTCTTACCTACCTACCGACCTAATTTTTTCATCTTGAGTCGGGAGAGGGCAAGCAAACATTATTTTAAAGATGGCCTTATTTAGCTTATACATACCACCGATACGTTATGATATGTGTGTCTTTTTTCTATGGACTTGTTGAATCTTTCTATCATTTCGTCTATCTGAAATAAAAAAAAATAATTAAAGAAGAACAAATATACATTGTAAGTAGTAAATAATTAAACAAATAATTAAAAATAATCAATTTTTAGCCGTGCATTATGCATGACTTCAATTTTTTCAACCCATGTCATCTTGAAAACATTTAATTTGTACTGCGAGGAGATGCTTGATAATGTATCTCTGCTCTTCTTGAATTAAAAATTATTAATCAAAAATTCTTTTAAAAAATTTTTATATAATATTCCTGCTTAAAATGGAACAATTTTCATATATTCATCTTATCATAAATCAAATCTTAAACAAGACATTACACTACGTGGTGATTTGTTTGCGAAATATAGCCTCATTGCTCTAAAAAAAAAATCTTATTTATTATCATGATAAACTTATTCACCGAGGCTTCAAAAGGACTTATACTCCCTATATGAAAAAAGGTGAAGAAAACGACGAGTGGTCAATCAAAATCTGTGAACAGGGCACAAAACACGAACCCCGGAAATATATTTGAGTAAAAAAATGAACTACCAAACTTTAGAATGATATACATGCCCTAAATACACATTAAACAAGGTCTCCATGCTTCTGGACAATCAAATAACGGAATATAGACACACTCAAGAGACGTTTATAGAATTCGTGGTTTTAAATATTTTTAGTGAAATGATTTTTGGCAAAAAATTTTAGTAAACCTAATACAAATAAAATATGTATATCAAAACATATAACAATTCTGCATTAATCAATTATGGATGAAAATCTTAAAATAGAAATCAAGGAGGATTAAAATCTGATACTATAAGGTCCTAGCCTAACTTAAGCTTGTGGTTAAAGCTTTGGAACAATTACAAAGATTCTCTATCTTAAACCTGGTGTGGCAATATCATAGCACCGAGGATACGGAAAAACACCCCTTACATTTTTATCTCCAACCCCCTTCCATATTTACCAATGAATAATAATATCCGTGGCTCCTTAATCTGAATTTTCGTTATAAAAAATAAAACAGATTTTATTAAATCATAATGTATAGAGAATATAACTTGTGTGTCCTTGAAATAACATATTTATTACATGATAACAAAACACAGGAAAACTCATAACAAGCCACTGTCCCCTTTCCGTTTGTGCTTCCTATGACGCAGTTCACAAGCATTTTTGAGACCAGTTTAAGTTAGTAAATAAGTAAGTTACTCATTTATCTTAGTGACATGGAAAATAACAGCGCAGTCGTATCAATAGATACTCAGTGATTTATAAGCAACAAATTCTTAATGGTACTGAACACAGTGACTGCAGTATATATAGTATATATTTACAGTTGAATTTTCTTTTATTATTCTTTTTTCGTATATTCTTGTCCATGCGCAAAGCAGAATGGGTATTTATATTCATGACAAGCTTGTGTTCATGCATGGATATTGTGAAAGTTCCTGAAACTTTGATGTACAACTACTGCAATGCAATGAATACAACTTTAGACTCTTGCCTACAATAGAAATCAATACCTATGATACGTTAGAATTATCATCCATTGCTTTTAAAGCAGTAAGTCTCTTTTTTCGATCATCTATACGAATTTGTATGGTGATTTTACCCTACTGTGACGTTACAAACTATGATTCTACAATCTGTGACGTCATTTGCATATTTAAAAAAAAAATAATCACCAAAAGCGTATTGTTTCACACGAAAACTGTATGAATGATACAAAAAAGAAGAGAAAGATATGGTGCCAAGTTTGGTTTGCCAAGTGCTTATGGAGAAGTTAAAAAGTAAAAAAAAATATTAATGATTGTAGAAGACAAATAAGCGAGGGACAAACTTTGAATAGAAGAACCTTTCTGATCATGAACTTTCAGCTCGAGTGACATGAAATTATTTTCTGTGGAAATTATTGTCATACATGGACACTTTCTGATGATGAAAATACAAGAAAACTTAATAAGGACTGTATCTTTTCTTATATTCGTAAGGCCTTCATTATACAAAAAAAAATAAATGCATAGCTTATGATCAATATAGCTTATGATCAACATACCTGGTTTGGAAATAATTCCAGCCGTTTTAAGTAGTTTTCATAGTCCCCAATTGTGTCAAATGGTGTTGTTTTTTGAAGTTCTGATGGGTCAATTTGTGGTCCCTCAAGAAAATTGATTGGGTTCAGGGCATTGTAGCTAAAACAAAATAAGAAAATTGGAAAAACATGACATTTCATACGCGAATGCATTAGTTACATATGTAATGTTTTTAAGAACCTGACAAGGCATAAAAAATATCGTGCTATTATTGGTACCATTTCAATCTTTTTATCAGCTGCATATAACTGATTTATTTGATTGTCATCGTAGATAAAGCGATCTGAATGATAGTTTTATTGAGAAAACCATAATGTTCATTTCCACTTTTTGTATTTTAAACAATGACATATTTGGAATAAACAAAATATCTTGAAGTTCCATGTAAGATTGAATGTTAGTTAATATTCTTTTCTACTAATGCACAGGTTTTTAATTTAAACTAGAGGTACTGTGAGCATTGGGCTCACAAAATGATAACCCCCCCCCCCCCCGCCTCCCATATGTTTATAATGGAAAAGTCCATGTTTTGCTAAGGGAGAACCGATATAAGTGTCCGATCAAAAAGTAAAACAAGGGGTCACAATGGCAGTATATAATGAAGATTCTGTGAAAGTATCTTTAAATTTATTCAGTGGTATATATATGGAAGGAGTTGCGGATAAGAGATGGGTACCCCTAATATTATAGAAAGAATGGCACTGTTCTATGTTGTGCCTTTGAAAAACCGAAATATGTGTCCGATCAAAAAGTAAAAAGGAGGTGCGCCTTGGCACTATGTAACAAAGATTCTGTGAAAGTGTCTTTAGATAAGAAAAGTTGCGGATAAGAGATGGGTAACCCTTAATATTATAGAGAGAATGGCAGTCTCTATGTCATGCTATTGGAAAACCGAAATATATGACCGATCAAAAAGTAGAAAAGAAGGTTTACAATGGCACTTTATAACAAAGATTCTGTGAAAGTCTCTTTAAATTGAATTAAGTATAAGAGGAGTTGTGGATAAGAGATGGATTACCCTCAATATTATAGAAAGAATGGCAGTCTCTATGTTTTGCTATTGGAAAACAAAAAGATATATGTCTCCGATCAAAAAGTAAAATAGGATCTCGAGGTACACAATGACACTATGTAACACAGATTCTGCAGAAGCCTCATTAAATTTTATTCAGTGGCTAAGAGGAGTTGCGCGGATAAGAGATGCGTACCCCAAAGCCTTACGGACGGACGTATAGACAGACAGACGGACCCCATCACTAAACACTCCCCGCTTTTCAAGCGGAGGTATAATAAAAAGAAGAGATTTTTGATACCATCTAGTGTTAAATCAAAGTTGACATATTTTAAAAATTTGGAGATAAGCTTGAATGTAAATTGCTTTTTCCTGCACAACGAAGTTATTTGCTTCTATCGTAACCCTGTTTAACAAAGTGTACCTACTCTCGCCAATCGTGCCCTCGAACGATAGTCGTCAATGTGTCCTTAAAAATATCATAATCTGTCTTCTCTTTCGGTGTAAGTTGGTTGTAGTCGATCATTTTCAAATCATTTAGAAGATTTAGGCATTTGGTCTACAAATAAATTCTCAAATTAATTCAGTTAATTCTTTCAAATTATTTTAAGTAAAATAATATAATAATGAAATAAACTGGAATATTGAGGAATTTTATCTAGTTATTTGAAAATAATTTTCTGTAGATCGCTTGATGAATTGAAGATCTATATATTTATATTTAATAATAAATATCAAATTTCGTACATATTCTTCATTAAATCCTGAGTATGCAAACTTTTCCACTTTGTCACTGTATTTGTATATGCCAAGAGAAGTTGAATATTCGGGGGAACGCTGAAGTCTCCATTCCCCGTACTCTTTCTGTAGGGAGTCAAGTTTTGATGACAAACATGCACCTGTGGGAAATAATGTCATTAATGGTGTATGTTAATATTTAGTTATCTTATCATTTTTTTGAACAAGAGAAGTAGACCAACCTTTAAGTACATTATATCTAAGAATGTTCTTATCCCGACTTAGATAAATTTATGTAAGAGTAAATAATTTGGATGCGTGATTTTTTTTTCCAGTAGTAAGCTTGAATTTGACAACTTTCTTTAAAATAAAAATTATTAATGGCAAATAGATATGCAAATTATTCTCCAAACAATGTTAACTTTTGATAAATTAAAATCAAACAATGTATGATTAGGCAAAATTAATGTAAGATTTTTTATCTGAGTCAACGAGAGCGATGATGGAAATAAAAAGTTTTGCATTAATTTAGTTTTGTACATGTTGACACTGCAGTTTATTTATGTAAAAATAGTTTAAAGCCTTAAATAAATAATACACACAACACTCCATACAGGAAACTTATTTCGAACAATATACATGACATTTAAACACAATGACTGCAAAATTATGTCATTCTAATAAGTACAATAATTTGTCGATCTCAACCTGAGAAAACAAACGGAAATAATTAACCATAGTTCCAATGATAGGCATGTTTTATTCTTTCAAATCACTCACCTTCTCCAAGTAAAAATAGTAGGAACATCAATGGCTGTTTCCAATTTACCTCCATCTCGAATGTGACGAACATCTTAAAAAAACGTAAAAGATTTCTTTACACAACTTTAGAAACATTCATTCATAACGATCACTGAAATATACAAAGAAGTTTGTCACAAAGGTAGTTCAGGATAGGCACTACATACGTCCGTATAAAATGACTGGAAGGTGAAAAGTAAACACTGCCAAGAACGGTAAATCGATTCTCATTTATATTCAGGATGCCATCCTCAGTAAATTGCCATTTAAGCATAAAATTATAATATATATATACAGGTACGGTGTCCTAGATTCATGCACTCGCAAATTAAGAGAAAAAAAAAACAAAAGAAAAAAAAGTTATTTGCGTTCCACCCAGTGGTGAAAAGACATTTATAATCTATATCAAAATGTCTACTGTGAGGGGATTATAAATTGCGACAAACTGAATAATTTCTCATTTGTAACAATTATTATGAATTGTAGCATACTTAAATAATTTATCATTTGTATCAAGTTTTATAATTATATCTTTTCATATACCAAGTCGATAAATAATGGGTAGCAACTGTTCCTTCGCTATGCGCTCGGCACTTTGAAGTGAAAGTTGCGGGTCATTCGGATGAGATCTTAAAAACCGAGGCCCCGTGTCACGGCAGGCGTTGGCACGATAAAGATCCCTCACTGCTCAATGGCCCTAAGTGCCGAGTAATGGTCAAAATTTGAAGCCCTTCACCGGTATATGATGACTTCTCTATATGAGTGAAAAATTCTCGAATGGGACGTAAAACAACGTACAATCAATCAATCAATCTTTTCATATAAAACTTTTACCTGTCGAATTCATCGAAAAAAATTCTTTCTAAAATGGTGGTCTACTTTAAATGTTTAAAGAGTGAACAAGAGTCGAGTGGTGTTGTTTTAAATAATGCTTCAGGATATGTATGCTACATGTAATTGAGGCAGTAGTAAAATCCATCCGGAACACCTCGGGCCTTTCACAGAAAAACTGTGTTTTTCTGTGAAAGGCCCGAGGTGTTCCGGATGTAGTAAAATCCTCCTGTGATTTCATTCTTTAGCTCATATGCTTCAATACAGTTTAAGGAATGAAGAGGGAACTCCGGCAGTTACCTTGATAGTTTGTTATTTGTGAATAAATGCGTTCAAAAATTCAGCATACATTATAGAAGCAGAAATTTTCCTGACGATATAATTTCTTTGATTTGTGTTCTCAAATATGTTCATTACATTGTTTCAAAAATAAGCCTAGTATTAAATATATAACTTTTAAAGATTGTGTTAGTGAATTAATTTCCCTGATTAATGTTATCTACGAAACAAACAAAATTTAATCCCCAATGAACATTCCTACTTTTACAGCAAAATATGAGGGTTGTCCCAGAAAAACGCGAACTGTTTAAATATTTCATAAATTACCTGACCAAAATTATTCATTTTTTGCACAATGTTGGGAAATGATATTTTCGTCATTTTGACCAATTACTATAAGGGTGGAATGCCATATGCATTTAGAAACAGCATTTAAAGGGTATAAATATCGGTGTTCGGCGCAAGGCAATTTCTTGACTTTCAAAATTAGCTTTGCCATCTATGTTTTCTTTATTACAAGAATATTCGGAAATATAATGTGACAAAAATTACATTCATAGAAACTGTACGATCTGGAGTACCCATGTGTAATAAAATTATTCTTTGACTTCATAAATGACAAAAATATGGCCTTATATATAAGAGCAAACATTATTAGTTAGATATTGTCAAAAATGGTGACGCCGGGCGATAATGCGGCGCACCAAATTATCACTCAGTACTGTGTGGAGCAGGGTATAGCTCCTGTCAATACGGGAAAAGAACTGGAACGAAGAAACGACACAAATATATGTTTCAAACATTGGTTTATACATAGTAAAAGAGGTTTAAAGATTGATGGACTGGTTAACGGTTGGTAGACCAACAAAAATGACGACAAACTGAAAAGTCTAGAGCTGGAAGTCATACCTGGAGACAGCCGTTAACTATGCAAGCAGTTAAGTTTATGATCGGGGTTGGGAAATTGTCTATTGAAAGTCGGTAACTAAAAGAAAATCAAATGCAGTATCGAATTTCTGCTTCGAACGAATTTTTAAAGACGCACGATTGCTGAACAAATTCAAAAACTCAACGAGCTACGTTTTGACGTCGTCGGTGTTGCGCCGGCAGCTATTTTGAATGATTCGTTTATCAGAGTAAAAATGTTATTTATAGAGATATTCTATTGAAATTTCTGTGAATTATGTAAAATCGTTTATTATATTGCATGCCAGTTTTTAACTTTATAATATAAGTGAAACGAAAAAATTTAAAATGTTTTAATGGGACAACCCTCGCATATATCTTAGCTCTGCGTTATGTAATAACTTATACTATAAATAAATAAAAAGAAAACGAATGCTACATGATATTAAATGTATATAAGTCGTTTATGTATATACGCAACAAATTGTACATTTTGAAAACTACAGCTTTTCAATAGTGAATTATGTGCTGTTTAAAAACGATTATTTTGTCATAAATAGTCATAAATTACAATGATTAGTATATGTTCAAGATTTCTTAACTTTTATATTTCAAGCATTGTTGTGATATAGTTTGAATATCCCTTTCACATCAGCAATTTCAAAATAGAAATCTATTGAGTTGGAAATGAAAATAACACCATAAGCATGTATAAATAGTTTCAAATAACGAGTCGAGTTATTTACATATTTCATATCCAATGCTTTCTTATCAGATTGACCTGCCATCGCTGTGCCCAGTGTCCTGTTTCGAAAAATGCAAATGAATGAAAAGGTGAAGATGACGAACAGTGAGTGATCAATGTTAAAAAAGCTACAAACAATACAAATCTGTGAACAAGACATAAAGCAAGGACCCCCGGAAATTCCAGAGATGGGATCAGGTGCCTAGGAAGAGTAAGCATCCCCTGTCGACCGGTCAAAAAAAGTTTTGATATTATACACAAAACACTAGTCTTGGAGAATAATTTAAAAAAATAACAATAATTTTATAAAATTGTCTCTTGTTCAAATCAACTTATACAGTAATCAATTCTTGTGGACAGTACGTGACATCTGGAGAATTCACTCTAATAAGCTACAAGCGCTTTAACTAAAATGATTTCATCTTTGACAATGATTTAAGTGATATCCTTATGAAACACAATTTTGTCCAATCATACCTACGTCACGGAAAACTAATACACAATTTCTGCTGTTGAATAGCATGTTTAATTGCAGACTATTTGAAGATTTTTTTTTTGGCGGAACTTATCATACAAAAAGACAACATAAGGCTCACGATGGGTGTGACCGGTCAGCAGGGGATGCTTACTCCTCTTAAGTACCTAATCCAACATCTTATCTTTCCAGATGTCCGTGTTTTTGCCCTGTTGATGATTTGTTTTGATTTTTGGATTTATGAGATTGATCTCTGTTCGTTATCGTCACATTTCACCGCAAAGTGGATCTTGAAAATACAGAATTTTTTTTTTTACTTTTTTTTTTGATGCTTTGACGATATAACGAAATTCATAAAATTAAATAATAAGTACTTAATTTCATGGATTTCAATTAGGTAAAATGATGTGAATGCAAATTAAAAAGTATAAATACCTCGAACAAATGAACATTAAATATAAAATGATCCATCATATCCATACCTTCAAATACGAAACATATTAGAAAAATCAACGAATTATTCCACTTTACATCTAAAATACATTTTTATTATGAAATATATTAATTATGGTGTGATATACAGCAATGACAAATTTTTGGGATGGTTACACATCCGAGAAAACCCACAAAACTCAGATGATCGTTCAGCGATAGGAATAGATTAAAATAAGTTTCACAAATAACAATCCCGAGTTTACCGAGAATTGTGGCTTTTCTTTAAATTTAGTTAAGGAATGAAAAGCTTCCATTGTTTGTTTATACTGGGATGACACTTGCGATATTGGAGAAAAACATAACCCGTGTAAGCGTAGGCAACTTATGTATTTTTTTTCTGCAATAATCGCAACCGTAAAACCCGTGTTAATAAAACAAGATTACATTTTTTCTGTATAAGTTGTTTTAAATAAGGTGGAAATACGTAAAATATTGTATTGTGGATGCTTATGTTACCTATATAGAAGAGCTATGCAGAAGTTGATCTTTGACATTTCTTAATAACATTTCATACAGTATGGCTGAAAACAGATCCGACTAGTTTAGAAGTAAATTGCGTTTATTGCTTGATAAACAGCATTCACTTTTCATAAGAAGTAAAGAGAAAATATTCCGTTGATGTGAATATAATCAAGTGAATATATAGCTGTATAATAGACAACCTGTAAAAGAATTCTTTAAGACGGACTACAAATACTTATTCAAATAACTCCTTATTTTATAGGGAGAATATATCTATCTTGTAAAAAAGCTGCAAATCTGCTGAAGATCAGTCAAGATTACTAACTGGAAACTCGTATAATTCTCAAGAACCAAGGTTTAACATTTTGAAGTTTCCCATGAAGCAAAGATTGAAGTATTTTAAAGCATCTAATAAGTTTACTTTGTTATGATAGAATGAAAACTTTAAGTAACAATCCAAATGTAAAATCTGTTATTATTTTAGAGTTTTCGGAAGAAAATCTTTACACTGACGGTTTTGTCTCCAATTTTCTGGTGTTGATGAATTAATAAACGTTACTCTTCCCTATTGAAATGCTACAAGCATTATATTGACAACGTTTGACAAGATTTATTAAAAGTATTTAAAAGTATTCTGTCGTCCTAAATATTCAGTCTAAAAAGAGTAAAAATCTAGAAGTATGTATAATTTTTCATAAAGAATGTAATTTTTATTTGTTAATAAATCTAATATTAATCTCAGTTTTAGTCAATAAATCAAAAGTTTGTTTTATTATTCTCCTGAAATACGAACGCATGAACGTTTTATACTGTCCAAGTAGTTCTTTGTCTTTAAAACTAAATCTAGATTGATTTAATAGGGACACATTTACATATGTCCGTTTTCTTTGATTTGAAATCTTAAATCACATATTAGTCCTATCGATTGAATACGGAAAATACTGAAATTTTCAGGAGAAATGAATTTGCCTAAGTAAGGTTATTACGTTAACATCTAAAGAGTAACCGTCACGGTAGCTCAGTCGGTAAAGTGCTCGCTCCGTGATCGGAATGTCTTGTGTTCGAATCACGGTCACGACTGACCTAAGTCGATAAAAAATAGGAAGCAACTGTTCTTCGCCAAGCGCTCGGCACTTTGAAGTGAAAGTTGCATTTCCTTCGGATGAGACCTTAAAAATCCAGGCCCCGTGTCACGTTAGGTGTTGGCACGATTAAGAACTCTCACTGCTCAATGGCCCTGAGTGCCGGGTAATGGTCTAAATATGAAGCCTTTCACCGGTATATGGTGACGTCTCTATATGAGTGAAAAATTCTCGAACGGGACGTGAAACAACATACAATCAGTCAATCAATCTAAAAAGTACTGTTGTTTCACAGGAAGATTAAAGGTAAAATGGAAGAATCTTTACATAAAAAAGTACGATTTAAAATGCATTCGTGGAGGCCTATTAAGAAAATTTTCTGCCTTGTTTCCTAAGAAATCTATATTAGTCTCCTTTGGTTGATTGGTTGCATGTTGTTAAGCGTCCCATTCAAGAATTTTTTAACCATGCAGAGACGTCACCTGCTTTAGGTGAAATGCCACCAAATTTGACCTATGTATGGCGCTTACGGCAGGATGTAGCTGTGAGGATTCTTTATCGTGCCAACACCTCCCATGACATGTATGGGACCTCGATTTTTTAGTTCTCGTCTGACTAGCACTTCTTACACTGGCTGCTTGGCGAAAGAACAGTCACTTTCTATGTGAAAAGTCTAATGTTTGAAGTGGTGCCTGGAACGAGAATCGAACCGGACCATTCTGATCTCCCTTTCATTGATATCAAGAAATAGCCTCAATTGCTCCATAAAATGAAATGGATACCTTTGATACTGACTTGGAATCCTTTCAAAGACAAAAAGGAACAAGAATCTTTTAATACATAAATACTTAGAAACATTTCTTATACTGAGAAATCATTACTTTTCGTGGGGGTTTAATTTCGTTGTTTTCGAATTTTGAAGAGATTCACAAATTCCTGTCCACCACGAAATGTAAAATTTGATATACATAACTACGCAACACGTCTCCAACCATGAAATCAAATCCCCATAAATCAATATTTTCCCTCAAACGTCGAAAATTTGACCCCACAAAAATACGTGATTTTACAGTACTCACATACAAAATTGACTTGATATTTTCTTTCCTCTTCTGACTATTAGTGGTTGAAGAAATAATTGCAACAAAATAGATAAGTAATTTGTGCAAAGAAATCAAGTTAATGTATATTGTTAAAAGAGAAATGAGACCGTCAGTTTAATTCTGAGATATTGATTTCATTGAGTGTCCTGGTGAAGTGCATCTTCCTTTTTACAAAACGAATGAAAAAGCTAAATGCAGTATATTCATATTTTTTGACCCCATAACAGTTAAAGTTTGAAAACTTGTGTGTGCTGAATTGTATACATTATTTGAAAATCTGAGTTAACAAAAATATAATAGTTTCGAAGTAAAGTATTTGCAATTTTTTTTGATTTTGCGTTAATTTTCAGAAAGAGGTCAAAATTTGTTATTTTGACTATGTAAATAAAGCAAACCTGTTCCATCACAATATTAACATTTTTCATTTATGTTATAATTCCTATACATTATAGCAAAACATGAGTTGGAGCAAACCTGCGCCTGCTGACTTTCACTCAATTTATCGACGTAATTTACACCTTTTTCTCTATATAAATCAAGGACATTTTGAATTAAGGTCATTTTTAAAACATGGCATCATGGCTAATGAATATATTTAAGGCTTTGAAGTCTGCATATATCCCCTTGATTTAGAACACAATTATAGACTTCTCCATCAAAGTTTGATTCTGGGGGCAAATTTTGGTAATTATAAAATAAAGACCTTTCTCTTTAAAATAGTTAATGTTCTCAAACGTGCACAAAAACTGAAGAAGGCATGTACTATAAACCAACTTTTATTCACGTGTGAGAAATTTCCAGGAGGGTAGTGCGACCTCCTTTAAATCTTGAATTTTTCTGTATGTGAACTCTTTATTTCATTGCATAATTCCTAAGTCGCTAAAATTATTCGTAGCAGATAGATTTCAACTAAAAAATCGCGAATTATTATTGGTTTACAGTATACAGCATTCATATAAAAAATATCACCATCATTAATTCTATCATTAGCTAAAAGATATACTTATCTAGTATCTTTTAAACAAAAAAAAAATATTAGGTTAGTTATTAAATATATCATTTCACTTAATAAATTCGATTTTGACTCGGATACACAATACTCATGATATTTTTTGAAATTTGTCTGTCTTTGATTGTACATAATCAAATTATATATACAATACGAATGGAATTACAAAACATGAATGAAGTAAATACTTCATTTACATATATGCATGATATGCATGTCAACAGAAAGATTTTAACAAAAGTAATATGAAAATAGTTGGCAACATTTTTAAATTAGCTGTTTTTGTAGATCCCTCTGAGGTGCACTGATTCGTTGTTTTTGAGGGTTTATTTTTTGTTTCAGCGATCCACTGGTCCACATTTTTCTCCAGGATGTTCAGAGGAAGAGCTCCGTCTTTCAAAACAATGGAATGAAAATCCCTGATATCAAACTTTGACCCTTAAAAGTAAACCAAGAGTCCAGTTTTATACATTTTAATAAGATGATTTTTTTTATTTACACATATTTCAGGGACAGGGACTTTATCACAGAACAAAGACTGGTTTGAATCCACTATGAAATGATAACATTACCATTTTTTGGTTCCAGTCACCAATATATCGTGCATGGATTTTCAAACACTTAATATCATAATCAGTGAAATATGTGATACATCTTCGGATACCCACGGGTGATCTCGTCTTTTACTCATCATCCGTGGGCAATCTCGCTGAAATATCGTCGTTAAATATCCAAATTTGTCGATTATAGACAACCAATCAGAAAGTTGGAACTCTTCAATTTTGAAAATACGTTTATTAGTTTGCTATTTATGCTAATATCGTAACGCCTGTTAAAAACGTGCGAATTTAGTTTTAAAACAAAAAACGACAAGTCATACAGGTCACTGGCATCAAATACCAGTCAGGAATAGGAGTACCTATCTCAAACTGCTTAATGGTGAGTGGAATTGTTTGCAATCGGTGTGACCACGGAAAAGCCTTTGTCATTACCAAACATACATACGTAAAGAGTGAATCGTTGATTTGCCATCGCGACTCTGTACAGCAGCCAATCAAATGACCCGAGCATATTAAATACATAGGACATATATTAATATTTCTGCGAGTTTGCCAACGGTTGATGAGTAAAAGAGGAGATCACCCGTGGGTATCCGACGATGGTGAAAAGAATACGGGAAGAAAAATACCTAACGCATTTTTAGCCCTTTCCCGCAATTCCTTTATTTTTAGTTCGCCGATTTTGTATGCACATGCTTGGCCCGGCCATGTCAGATATCTATCAATTTCAGTCGTGATAGAGTTTTCACTGTACGCTGTGTAATTCAACATGTAGTCTATGGCACGTTGTCTCGTCCAACTGAAAAGACAAGAGGAAAAACAATAATGGTGCATTCGATTTACTTAACCTTCTTAAAGTTTGGTAGACTCTATGGTATATATCAAAATGCTAATCATTCCAAACTGCACATGTATTTAATTTTTAATAGAGACATCTTAAGCATTACATCTTAAATACTTTCATTCAAAGAAATGTGTTCCTTGTATACCCTTCCATTGAAAAATGAAATACATTTGATATTTTAGGTTGAGTTTGAGCTAAGATTGTTATAAGATACAAATATCTCTAAATACTTGTATCGGTTTCCGTGTTAGAAATATAGATTGTATTTAGATATAAAGATTGACTCTTAGATATTTTGCTATAGTCCATTGATATGGTTATATGTTTTCATGTTTTATTTAAATGCAAGATATACAAACTTAAAGTAATGCAATCCTGTATCGACTACAAGACGACAGGCTCTAAATATTTCCGATCCGTATCTTCCCATACTACAAGAAATCATAATTGAATTATGTGCTTTGTTCAATTTCTACTCTGTTAAAATATAATGATTGATTGCATGAATTGGTACATTTATAAATAAAATAAAGAACCCACTAAAAAAAATCGTTAATTGATATTGACTAAAATTTCCATATAAAATTAATCCTTACAGATCATTATCAGTTTTGTATACGTTCATTTCTTCACCCAAAGATTCTGCATACAATGCCCATCCCTGCATTATGTAAACATGAGAAAGGTTAACGCAAAGTAAGATGATTTTTCCCCATTTTTTTAAGGAACATCATTAGTAGTTTGAATAGTATTTACAAAATTCTCAAGATATTGATCAATTCCAAAACACTAAGGTCGAGGACGTTGCATCATAATTTTTCAAAACTAATTTCTGGAATCTTTTTTTCTAGGAATACGAAAACAAATCCATTACTTTTCAATATCTTACAAACGTCACAAATTTCCACTGCCAAATTGATTTAAGGAGCCAAACATGATAAATTTGCACACACCCTGCATCAAACGATGTATTTTTATAATTGTTTAAACGGTCGAATTTGTATTTGATTGTTCAAAAAAATGAAAATGAGTACTATATGCATAATAACTTTTAATAAATATTACATGCTTTTACCTCTACATAGGCTGTGTAAAACGGGGCTTCAAATGGAACTGTGTAGAGATACCCAGTCATCTGCTTTCTATAACTAGGGATTTGGACAGTAGATGCAACGCTGATCTGTCATGTAAAAGGACATTTAAATTACTGTTACACTGTTAATTATAATGGATTTAACAAACAATTGTTGGTGCGTGAAGTTATTATCATAAATATGATGTCTACGATACGACAACGGATTACCTGGATAAAAATGTTTGTTCTTGAAAACAATACGCAATTACATTGAAAATAATACTTTGATACATGTAATTGCCAAGAATTTAGAGATAATACTTCATAATATGTGATTCATTTCAATTCGTTTTTTTAAATAGTCAATCACAGAAAATTAAATTCAATTTTACCAGTAAATATATATATACCAGTGTAATTACCATTTTTTGAAGAAAAAAATGACGAAGAAATACTCTTTGTGATCATTTAATGGAAAATATGTAATGCAATGACAGAAATATTACATGGATCTGCTTACCTGTAAGTGATGACCAGGAATTGTCTCGTGAAGTAAAAGAGCCATAAAGTCAATTTTAATACTAAAAATGTACAATGAAAAGGATATATAAGACAAAATTTCTCTTTCCATTCTTTATAATTAAAAACATTTTAACAAGCCAAATTTCAAAAAAAAATTGCTTGTTATAATGGATTTTAAAACAAGAGGCCCAAGGGCCTTAACGGTCACCTGAGTATAATACAACAATTTAAAGGATCCATAGAGTATAAAATGAACTGAAAGGTGAAGCTGTGTTGCCCAAAAGCAAGAAAAATAGTATGATCAGGATCAACAATATTATTAGTCTAGTATTCATTAACAGTTCATAAATTAGGTTCTAATCTGTTCCCCATTTATCACTCTAGCCAGACAGTATGTAAACAAACTATCAGTGCTTCTGTACTCTTTTAATTCCTTGTTGAAATATCTTACATTGGTCTCTCTTGGTCTTTGATGAACATTTAATAAGACAAGTTATTTTTGTCTCATTTTTATTTATCTATTATTTTCAAGTCTACCTGATCATTAAAACTATGAAAGTACTTTTTGTATTATGCAATAAAAATTCTTGCATAATTCTCTTACTCTATTAGCCTTTCAAGTACATTATTTACAGTGATTAATTATCACAAGTAAATGGCAAAGGGTAATAACTCCTCTCAGTAGAATACAAATTAATAGAGCCCTAGCCTGGACCAGAACACTTCACCAAATGGTCCCGATGTTCAAAAAACACCCTTCTTTATTAAAACGTTTACTCTTTTTGCCTCTGATATGCCCAGGTGCAGAGAAGATTTTTAAAGCATTAATGCATTTTCACTCTATAATAAATAGAGCCCCGCCCTAACATCAGAACCTCTGATCCAGGGATCATGAAATTCACAATTTTGGAAGAGGCATCCTTGCTTATCATAACTATGCATTTGTTTAAATAATACCCAGGAGTAGAGAAGAAGATTTTCAAAGAAATAATGCACTTTCACTATATAATCTATATAGCCCCGCCCTAGCACAAGAACCCCTGAACCTTGGACTATGAATTTCACAAATTTGGTAGAGGCACTCTTGCTTATCATAACTATGTATTCAATTTGTTTCAATAATACCCAGGAGTAGAGAAGAAGATTTTCAAAGAAATAATGCACTTTCACTATATAATCTATATAGCCCCGCCCTAGCACCAGAACCCCTGACCCTGGGGTCATGAAATTCACAATTTTGGTAGAGTCATCCTTGCTTATCATAACTATGTATTCAATTTTTTCAATAATACCCAGGAGTAGAGAAGAAGATTTTCAAAGAAATAATGCACTTTCACTATATGATCTATATAGCCCCGCCCCCCTAGCACCAGAACCTCTGACCCTGGGTCCATGAATTTCACAATTTTGGTGGAGGGCTCAATGCTTATTATAATCATGCCAACAGTTTGACTGCTTGATGTCCAGGGGTAAAGAAGAAGATTTTTAAAGATTGCATTAATTTTGATGGTTTTGGCCCCACCCCTCAGGCCCCAGGGGGGCAGGGGCCACGAATTTCACAATTTTTGTTTCCCTTCACCCATAGATGCTATATGCCAAAATTGGTTGAAATTGGTTTGCTGGTTTCAGAGAAGAAGCTGAAAATGTTCAAAAGTTTACGACCGAAGAACGACGGACGACGCACGACGACGGACGAAAAGAGATAGAATAGGTCACCTGAGTGACTCGGGTGACCTAAAAAATCGAAGACTAATTATGATTATCCAAATATAACAAAATATCCCAAGGTACACAAGATAAATGCAGAATTAACCAGTCCAAAAATAATTGTACGAAAGGTCCTCTCATTTCAAGCAAGTTATATAATAAACTACTGTGAAATCACAAATTTTCGTGGGGGTTAATATCGTTGTTTAAGAGATATGAAGAGTTCCACGAATTCATGTCCACGACGAATTATAAACAACGGACATATAGTTTGGCACAACATTTTCGACCTAGTCTGAGTCCTGTTAGTCAGAGGAGCAAAATAACTTTATGTCTTTTTATAAACTTTTGGCTTTGCTGAGCCGTGAGGTGTCTATAATAGAAGAATAAGTAGTGAATTGTAAAAAAAAAAAAAAAAAAATACATGTCTCATTTTTCTTTAAATGAATAACTCAATAGTTCAAACATACGATTTATTGGGATGGAAGACGTTCACTTGGAATACCCCCGGGCGTGATCCATCGGGAGGTCCTGCTAGATACTGGCCATCAATCCCATCTATTGGATTCGGCTGTACACTAAATAAATAGATTGTAGCCAAGGGACACATACCATAATAACCTTCAGTTTAAAATCAGATGAGATATAATTAGGTTGAAAGCAGATTTTCATACTAAAACTTTAAGATACTTGAATATTTTATATCTTTAAATTTGGCATCAATTAAATTTGAATTAAGTTGCTTACTCTACTGGCAAGTTAGGAAGGTCTTTAAATAACTTTGGCAATTGGGGTTCAATGTCATTTTTAATTGCATCCTTGTACCATTGTATTATTTCTTCCTGTTGAAAAATTTAACAGTTGAAAAAACATTATTTAAGATTTAAAAGAAAAATAAACCTGAGAATGTATGGAAATAATCTTACGCCAGTATTTAGATAATTATTTGGATCCGCCTTGATCTTGTCGAAAAACTCCTTCACAGATCCCTTATGATTTAATTTCATCATGATCTACATAAAAAGTGAGAAAATAAAACAATTAACAATCTAAAAATGCCATTCTGTCTTGCTTTCTAAAATGAAACATATGCTCTCACCTTTCTCATCTCCGAAGAAATTCTCTCCACTTCTTGTAAACCCTTGTGATGGACTGCGTCTGGTGTTAAATCCAGAGAGAGGTGCCAACGTAGACATTCTTTGTAAAATTCACCTCCTTTATCCCAACTACTTACCCCGTAACCACTTCTTACATGAAGAAAATATTCCTGAAAGAGTTTTCAAATACAATATGTATGCCAATTTGATCTAAATGTTATCAATTTATATTGAAATTTAAAAGTTAAGAATGTATTAATACTCACAAATAAATCATTCTTCTATAACTAGTTATCTAATTGTATACATATGCTAACAAGCATATTTTAACACTTACGGTTTCAAAATATCTCTTTAAGTCTCTAAATTTTTGGATCATGTTTTGGACAGCTGACCTTGCCCTTTCTCTCATATCTGCTCTACAATTTATGACCGATATTTTAGTGAGTAATGAAATTCTCTTCAAGAGTATTTACCATACATTAGTGGCTTGTAAAAAGTATCTCTCTTTTTCTTAAATTCAGTTTAAAGGAGACGGCATTATCTCTTAAAGAGAAGTGCGTCTGGGCGAATTAAAAACGGGACAAATTTTTGCAAGTTTTAAAGGGCGAAAATAGCACGGGACAAAAATAACCCTGTATAAGTACATGTACCATAATGCCATCAATGTATAATATAAACGCAACTTTTTTCATCAATCCATTAACCAAGTACGTAATAAATAGCATTTTATTTAACCATAGTTAAGTTTTGTAAAACGACTTGTTTTTTTGTTGTTTTTTTTTAAGCGTAATAAAACCTACTTCTTAGATTCATCAATAGTTGTCAGATTTGTCAATTTTTCGAGAAACGGTTTGTAGAGAGGGAAGTTTTCAGCAGTCGCGTTAGTAAGAATCGCATCTATTTGATCAGGAACTCTTTTCTAAAATGAAAGAAAAATATAGATGGATTAATTTATGGGATCGACTGGGTTTTCTTTGCGCAATAATTTGCCCAGAATAGGGAAATAAAGTGTATTTACAGTTTTAAAACAATTATTTCAAACAAAATTTATCAAATTTAACAAAATTAAGAAGTCACAGGTGAAGATTTTCATAACATCTTTTAAGATTTTTTTTTAACAATTTGTCTAACTGATACGTAGACGGACGTCCTTATATAGTGTGTTTGTGATCAACTTAAGTTCTCAAAGAGGCGGTCATAAAGTATTTTAAAAAATACGTTCTTAAAATTTTAAACACAGGAATTTGAAAATCTCACAATTATTTTTGGTATTTTTTTTCTGTGTAAATCCTTAGCATCTGTCATATTTTTGTATTACTCCATAAAAGAAGGAAAATTTCGTAAATTTTGACATTTTGAGATCCTCCCTCTGGAAACAAGACTGTAGATTTCTATGCTTCATCCATATATTGTACAATATATTTTTTCCTCATCACATGTGATTCTAGCAAAATGTGTGTTGTAATATTTTTATAACTTGCTTTGAAGTGCGAAAAAGCATTTTCCCATACAATCCTATATTAATATTAAATATATTTTGAAATGATCCCTTAAAAAAACCATGACGATAGATTTTCCTCAAACTTTGCATGTACACTGAAGTTGGTGTAGGGGCTGCACATGGAATAAAATTAAAGAGTTTTTCTTTTGCAAGTTTTACACAATAAAACTCAAATCAACCCCCTTAAATACCTACATATGTGTCTCATCTTATACAAAAATATCTCAACCATCCTCTCCTTTCTTGTAGAATTTTTTCTATACACTCTGGGAATATATACCAACATTTCCTCTGGTCAATCAATTAAAAACTGACAATCGAACACATATTTTTTATTATACTTAGCTGTATGTAATACTTACCACAGAAACATTATGATACGTGTGGCCTTTTTCTATTGCTTTATTAAATAACGACATCATTTCTCCTATCTTAAAGAAAAGGTTCAGCAATATATTAAAAGAATAATCTCAAACGACTGGAAACAATGGTTTTTTTCCTTTAGCAAAAAATAAAATGTCATATTGATATACAGTTTGTAAGTGTTGATTAATGAACTTTCTAATAATTGTTCTTGTTATATGAAGTGATGTCAAATAAAAGACATATGCCTAATTTTGTAAACATGAATATACATTTAAGAAATTCATTTGTAAAACAAACAGATAACATACAATTATTATGAAATTATTTTTGGGAACAAAAATATACATACATTATCTTACCTGATTAGGATACAGCTCTAAGCGCCTGACATAGTTTTCATAGTCGCCTACTGTGTCGAATGGGGTAATACTTGGAAGAGAAGATGGATCAATTTGTGGTCCTTCCAGGAAATTAATCGGGTTTAGGATGTTGTAGCTATAAAGTAAGAACTTTCATATAGAGTGAATTTGTGAATGAATTACATTGTATATATTCTGTCATTCTATTTAAAGTAAAAGACTTTTAAAACAATTTTTATTTCCTTTCGTTACCAGGATTAACAACCAAAGTTAAAGAATTGTTTATAGTGATATTGTTTTAGGTAACTCGTATCACTTTCTATCTAGATCTGTTCCTGTCCGTCTGTGAATGTCGTGTATCGTTCGCAAAGTTCCAGACTGAACATTCTTAGCTTTATTCCTCTCCAATTCTCGACTTAATTTTAAACATATATTGCACAAACCAAACAAAAATTTGAATTTCCTGTTTCTCTGATACTGTGGACTAAAGATGAGGCAAACGTATCGAAAATTAATTTCTTCTCTTAATTGGAAATCTAGCGAACAAGCTTGATTCTTCCTATCCCTTTCTACCAAATCCTGTCATACATTCACTGCATGATTGTGATGAAAATATGAAGATTTAGGTCTTCCCCCGAGAGGAATATGATTTTTCTTGGCCGAATAAATCTTCATATTTCCAGAACATCACGTTGTTTATTATAGAGAAACAATTATTTTTCTTCGTTGAATAAATTTCATAGTTCCCAAACATTCATGCAATAAATTGTTTATTATATCGAAATTGACAAGCCTTTAAAAATAATCAGAAACGTTCAAATTTGGCACCGCTCTCAAATTCACTTATAGTTCAAGAAGTCACTTAAATGTTTTAAGAGAAGTCTTGAACCCTTCATAGACAATTATTTTCGATTTCTTTGACTCTTTTAAAGCATCTTTTTGGAAAGAATATCTCTAATTCGTCACTGCTTGGTGGACTGAAACCTTTCTACTATTGTAAGTTTGGTGCTGCTCTCAGGAGGTTCGCTCGAGAAAACACACAAGGTCTCCGAACAACAACAGGGAAATATGAATTTTTCTGGCTCTGTCACTTGACTGTCAAGAACCAATCATAAAGCGTGTTGTATAGAATAATTATAATGATGCATAATAATCTCACTTATTTACTAATTCGGCCTTCAGAAGCGAAGGTTGCCTAGGCAATATACGTTCAAACACTTAAATTTAGAAAACTTTTTACAATTTTCTTTATTAACACATTTATATAAATAATTGGTTACGATTAGTTAGAATAATCTAACTGTGTTTCGGGGACAGGCCTTCACCAAATTAGAATGCCTCCCATATACCTGCAAAGAAGCAGAAAATTGCAGAATGGCTCCGAAACGGTTTTGGAGAAAATCAAATGAAGTTGCATGGAAAATAACCATCAAATTAATCATAAAAAACCTTTTTGTGATGTGGAAACTTTTCACCCAAAAAATTAATCCATATAAAGGAAGAATTCAACACTTTTTCTAATAGGTTTTTACTCGCTTCAAATTTACACGCCATGTTCACATTTGGAACTCTCTGGATTGTTCATGGTAAATGCAATGAGTTCGAGTTATCGCTCATGTAAGTTTTGCTACATTGCCAAATACATAGAACGCATTCTATCATTAAACCGGGTCCGAAGGACATTATCATTTTAACGATTAGAATAATGGCCTATAACAATTAGTATGAAATACATGTAACAGCTAGTAGGTCGGTCGGACGGACGGAAAAACGGACAGACAGACCCAAATTAATATCCCTCATTTTCAGTGAAAATGGGGCAATCAAGGTCAAGATCTAGTAAATGAAAGGAGCCTAAAGATTTCTCAAATTTGAGAAATAAATTCCTTTAATGATGCTTTATAACTATAGCTTGGTCAAATAAGGTGTACCGGGGCATAATTTGTAGATAAACAAGACGAAAAACCATACTTTAAACTGTCATTTGCAATGAAAATTAAGAAAAGCAGTCACGAATATGGAAGTTTTTTCCATATCAGACAAATAAAATATATCCAGATTGCCTACAGTCTCTCAGAAAATGGTAATCTGTGTGTTCTTAGCCTTTTCTTTAAAATAAAATCAAATTGAATATAGGTATCGGGATTAATTTTTACATGATTTCAAATTGAATTCCACAAAAGTGATGTATTTTCTACATAATTCTATTAGAGCTGTAAAGTACGGGAAAAATTAAGTTTAAATTGATTATGACGTCATAATGGACCTAGCACCAAAAAGACAGTCTTAAGTCATTTACTAGATCTTGACCTTAAGGTTTGTTAACTGAATTATCTCTATAGGGTGATTGTAGTACTAGTAAAAGCAAGATTAAATGAAAGGGGAACACTTGCTATGGGAGAAGTCTGACTCTACAACAAGTAGTAGAGTAGGTCTTCCTGAAGGGAAGTGTGACTTTAGAGTGAAATTACCCCGAAGGTCCTGCCTGTCGCTCTGGAGTCAGAATTCCCCTAGGGTGAAGTCTCACACTAGAGCCAGACTTCTGGGGGAAGGCTCGCTCTAGAGCATGACTTCTTGGGGGGGGGGGGGGGGGGGTCTGAGCAAGGGGAAGTCTCACTCTACAACACCGGTCACGAAGCTCTCAACCACCAGGCTACTCGAGACCATCAATCCTATCAATTTGATAAGATGTTTAATTTTCTAAAACAATATTTGTGACTTTTCGTTAATAAAGTACAGTTCGACAGAGTTAAAGTTTTTACATACTCTTTCCATCTGTATCCTCTAATAAGCGTTGATAGTGTGTCGTTGAATATATCATAATCAGTCTTTTCTTTCGGTGAAAGTTGGTCATATACAATCGAATTCAAACGGCTTTGAAGGCTCACATATTTCCTCTGCGTTAAGAAAAAATGATAAGGCATGAAAAGGATCCACAAATAATTTTTAAGGAATTTAATTTCTTTATCTGAATTCGTAGACCTTTATTCAATACTAATCAATTCAATTTTAAACAACGAGCTCTTCATGTCGTAAAAATCAGAGCTAAATCTACCACCTTTACAATAGTATAAACAGGTTTGATTTGGTACATACATATTCTTCATCAAATCCAGAATATGAATATTTCTCTACTTGGTCGTTATATTTGTATATGCCTATGGAAGTGGGATAATCAGGAGATTTCTGTAGACGCCATTCTCCGTACTCTTTTTGTAGGTCGTCAAGATTAGATGACAAATATTCACCTGTGGAAATTAAACATCCTCTTTTGTGTTTTTTACCACAGAGTCATTTTTATCATGAATTACTTCGATTTACTTTGCAGTATATCATTCTTGAACATGTTATCTAATTCAAATACATGTATTTATCACATCCCAAAATGTTGTTTACATTCATTTCCCTGTGATGATACCACTTTTTTCTTTAAATTCTAGCCTTAGGGAACTGTTAAATGTACTAAATGTGAGTCGATAGAACGATATCATATCAAATATTTTTATGAATTAATTTTTTGGTTCCGAATTATATTTGCATTAAAACTGTAAAACTAGAATTATATATTTACTGTTAAATGAAAGATAACATTGTAGTTAGTACATAATTTTCTTGCAATCAGTATACAGTTTATTATATTAGTTCATAAACCATTATATAAATGGGTGAGGAATTGCTGAGGTTACATGAAATCTTAATTGCTTGAAAATTTAACAAGGAGAATTGTGTTTCGAAAAAGAAATAGTAAAAGAAATTATAGTTATGAACTTCAGTAGATGTACATGTACATGTTATAGATATTAGTACATACAAGTTAAATTCATGCAAAATGTATAATTTAAACAGCGCAAAACCGAATAGTTAAATTAAACTTCAATGTTTTGTAAGATAAGCATGAAAATTAAAGCAGAGAGTAAAGAAAATGAAATATACCACATACCTCCGTCTATAAGAACTGTCAGAAGAATTGTAATGAACATCCATTCCAATTTCATTTTCCCCCGAATGATAAAATCATGAAAAATATTTTTTTTTTCTTTCTTCAAACAAATGTAGAGAAAAATTTTATCATCACAATTTTCTAAAGACCTATTTGCGATCGATTTACATGAAGTCTTCTCGAGGATTTGGTGATATCCTTTCCACTATTTCTGGGTTGTACAACAGACTTCCCTTTATTCAGTTTATCAGATTAGCAAATGATCCTTCAATGTGTATAAATACCTAGGTTGTAAAATTTCTACAGAAACTTGCAGGTAAACTTTGCTTATCAATAAATGTTAAATGACACAAATGACACAAAGATTGCAGTTGTGCCTTTGGTACATATTTACAGAACCAGAGCAGAGAAAATGTAGGCTTTACATATATGATGCGTGTTTTCGTTTTAGGTTTACGTCATAAAAATTAAAAACTAAAGAGATTGCTTATAATGAAAAAAAGGCTGAAGATAACGAATAGTGATCGATCTAATAAAATTCCACAAACAATACAAATCTGTGAACAAGGCGTAAAACATGTACCCCCGGAAATTCCAGAGGTGGGACCAGCTGCTAAATTATCTCTACAGATAGGAGGAATAAGCGTCCACCGTAAGCCCTATATACTGATCAGGTGTCGGGATATTTCAAAGCCAAATTCAGTATAAAAACAAAGGTCTAAAAATTGATACGAAACATCTCAGTCAACATACGACTCAGTGATTGGTTATATTTGGTATATATTCGCTAGCAAGGTCATTATAACACCTTACAAAATGCTGACTTTAAAGGAGGTGACCGGTCGTAAAAAAGATTGAAGCAAATAAACTAAATCGACATATCTCTAAGTACATATATTATCAATGAAGGGTATTGAATTAAAAATATTGTTCTCTCTCAATTCTACAGAAATCGTTTCTTCAGATTGTATCTTAAATATTTCAACTTTCTTCTCCAAGTGTTAATTTTGTTGGTCGATTTAACGGATACTAGGTCTTCTTTTTTTTTTGTTTGATTTTTATAAGGAATTGAGATTAGAAATTCTGTAAACACCTTTTGGAAAGGTTAAGGTTCAATATGAATGAATGATTGATTGTATGTTGTTTTACATTCCATTCGAAGGTTCAATATTAAAACAGTGCGATAATGTTTCAAAACTACTGACTTGAATTAAAAATACTCAGAAAACTGTTTTAGTCGCGTAAACCCTGTTCTTTGATCTTCTAACTCTTTTCCCTAAAAAGAAATGCAGCTTTGCATGTTTGGCCAAAACTCATAGTCCAAATGGCTGGCAGAAATTGTTTTGAAAGAAGTCAAACGCCTTACGGAAATGTTTGGTAAGCGTTCAAGGACATATACATGTATTATATTACCATTAATCGCATAAGAAAATGCATGATCATATTAGGGGTATTTTAAATCCCCCCAATAAATGTTTATGAAACTATTTTATGGTCGTCTTAATAAAATATGCACCTATGTACAAAGCACGAATATTTGTCTTACTCTTAATGTGTTCTGCTCAAGGGGTACATAATTATGTAGAGTCACTTAAGAAACTTTTTGAAATTTAAACGTCATCAAAAGAAAAAATGTTACAAAGACGAGTATTTTTTAAATTATATACTTGATATATCTTATCAATAATTACGTTACCCCGAACGAAGTCGGGGGGACATTGTTATTGTTCGACCAAATTTTGTCCGTATGAGTTCCCGCAGATTGCTTCGGCAATATTTATGATAATTTACATCAATAATAATCACCAAATGTGTGCATGCAATATTCAGAATTACCACTGATGGCTTGAAAAGAAGAATTATCATCTCGGGATGACATAAGCTTTTGTTTGCAAAAGCAAAAATTTAACTTGTCTCTCATTTTTTCAAACACATGTAAAAATTAATATATTTTGCGTAAAAAATTTGAATTTTTTAAAAAGATTTGAAAACCATTCATAACTACTAGTTATTTTTTACTTGTCTTTCATGTATATGTGATTTTTCTATTGCTTTGACAATTTTTTTTTTTCCTTTTCAGCTCCCTTTACAGCTTGATAAGGCGATGAAAATTGTTGGCACAAATGATAGGGAGCAGTAACAGGATTTCTTTATACAGTTGGTGAATTTTATTTTCTATTTACAAAATAAAAGTCAGAATGATATATAGAAAATAGTACAAACACTTTTCTACCTTACATTCTGTATCAGCCCAAGACATAAATGTCAGTCGAGGACCGAGTAGCAATTTCCAGACCCAGGGGGTAGAGTGGGACCACAATAGGGGATCAAAGTTTTACATGTGAACATACATAGGAAAAAATCTTTTTAAAAAAAATTCACAAACAGCAATATCATAATTAATGATATAAGTATTCACACATTTTCAAGTACTGCAGATTCAAGTTTGCTCAAATTATTGCCCCAGGCATAGGATGGGGCCACAAAAGGGGATCAAAGTTTTACATAGGAATATATTGAGAAAATAATCTTTTAAAAATTACCTCAAAAGAGATATATCTTGATTAAAAATATGAGCATTCACACATCTTCATGTAGTGCAGATTCAAGTTTGTTCAAATTATGACCCCCAGGCATGGGATGGGACCACAAAAGGGGATAAAACTTTTACGAGGAAAAAATCTCATATAAAATTTTCCTCAGGACAGTAATATTATTTTAAATGATATTAGTATTCAAAAATATCTGCAGGTAGTACTGATCCAAATTTGTTCAAATCATGCACCCCAGGAGTAGAGTGAGGTCAAACTGGAGGAAAGGTGATTTCAAACAAAATATATAGGAAAAACAATTCCTTGAAAATCCTCTGAAGAAGAGCAGGGCCATGATTAGTGAATTTTAATATGCACGCATTCTCTGGTGTTGCTATTCAATTTCGTTAAAATCTTGGCCCCACCCCACCCACCAGCGGTAGGGGCACTATGGGTGATGAAGGTTAAACATAGTAATAAATAAGAAAAAAATCATATCGTTTTGTCAAAGCAAAAGAAAAATTAGATATACATGAGAGACAAGTATAAACTAACTAGAAGCTACAAATTGTTTTCAAAACTTTTTATCCAAAATATTTTGAATTTTACGTGTGTTTCAAAAAATGTGAGACAGCTAAATATATTTTGTTTTTGCAAGCAAAAGCATATCTCACCCCGAGATGATAACCCTTCTTTTCAAGCCGTCAGTGGTTATTTTGAATATTGCACACATTTGGTGATTATTCTTGATGTAAATCATGAAGATTGCCGAAGCCTTCTGTGGGAACTCATGCAGACAAAATTGGGTGGAACAATAAAATGTCTCCCGATTTAATTCGAGATGACATATTTATAAATACTAAGTTTCAAAAAAATATTTTAAAATATTTAAATTCTTATTTTTATTCATGGAAGTGGGGCATGCGAAGGTAAAGATAATGTTCTGATTATCTTTTTTTTCGAAGATTATCAAAATCCTCGGGCTACCGACATTCCACTTCGTAGAAATTGAAACCAGTGTAATTCGTTCAGGTTTTTTCATGTATACATTAAAGAGAAAGGAAAATAAGCTGAGTTAAAGGACCTTCGCACCGGCTTAATCCGATTTTACTATCATTGATCAATCAGCATTCTTCATGTCCTTTAGAAGATTCAAAAGAATTTTGTTTGATATGTTGATAAATTACTTATGTTAATGAAAACATGTATCAATTACCGATTTGTAAGGACATATCATACAAACTTTTACCAAAATACCTTGATCATAAGAACTTAAATCATGATTATATGAGTAAAATAAATAAGTTTAACCGCATAGATTTTAACTTTTCATTGTAAGTTTTACAATAATGTGATTTCAAGTAACAAAAAATTGTGTAAATTAATAAAGAGGTGGCAGAAAGGAATAATTTTGAACATCTTAGAAAGTTTCAATTTCTTGATATTTTAGAAATTTCATAATTGCATAATTAACAACCAAAATAGGTTCAAAAATAAATACCAAACCAGGCATTCATGCAGTTTTTTTTTTTTTTTTTTTTTTTTGTTTGTTTTTTTTTTCATCATCTGTCCTTACAAAAAGAGTTTTTAACAAAGAAAAATCCTGATCAAAAGGAAAATAAATGATTCATAATTATATAAATTATATATCCGATGTATCAAATCAATTTCGAAATGAATAAAATATCAGAGGACGAAATCGAAAAAAAAAGAAGAAATTCTTATTTGTCTAAAGAATGTAAGAAAGGTCAGATGTTTAGTGACATATGAACTGAGAACAAAACCTGCAAAAATCAACTCAATTGCAAATGTCAATAACATTAAAATGAAAACCGAATTCGAATTTCATTTTTTTTATTCGTCTGAAAGTTTTCTCAGAGATGTATAAAATTGTTAACTTAAAAAAAAACTCAATTCAATGTTCAATTCTCTTTCTCACTCACAAAAGAAAATTCAGTGATTAATTTTGAAAATATGCTATAAATATACTTGATATTCAACAGACTTTGTAAAAGTGGTCATCTGTTCTACATGTAAAAAGAAAAATAACAGTCATGATAAATTAGGATAACTACATCACAATAATGGTCCAAAATGTTATATGAGAAGGCTCCGAAATTAAACAAACCAATAATCTACATTTCATATATGTTTGCTTCTAATATTTCCAAATTTTTCCTCAAAAATCTCCTGTAAAAGGTGTCGAAATCCCATACACTTTTAATAATTCATATGTAACATGCATGTAATAAATATAAATAAACAGATGACTCTATGATGGTAAAGTGACTTTGATTAATTAAACTTTACGAAATGCAAGGTCGCTATGTTTATTGTGGAAATAATTTCATTTCTGATGTCTTCCAGATTTTCTTGTGTCGATCAGCTCAATAATAACAGCATTATCCTCCGAATATTCTACAAGAAAATGAGATCAGTAAAAAAAATGTAAAAATGAATTACTTGCACTTTTTAATGTTTATGATGTAATCATAAAAAGTTACAATCAAAAATCAGATATTCCCCGAAGCGCAATTTTAATGTTAAGGTCTTTCGCGATATACATTTATTTCATGCGCTTGCTCAAAAGATCAAATTACTCTCAAATAGTCTAATTAATTTAGAGGCCGCGTTCGATATAGTACACCTATGTTGAATCATACGTACATGTATGTGGTTTGAATACAGATAACAATTCAATGTTAAAAATGCTTGTTGATGACTTGTCAATACCTTTCAAATGCTCAAAAGTTTTGAGAATTTTCTCTTTTAGCTCGGAATGTTCGTCTCTTGAGCCCTTCCAGAGCAATTGTAAATAAATCTGCTCAAAGGTTGACGGCATCATCAAAGAAACCTATATGAAGGAAAATAGAATTCTAGCAGAATCTTTCTTAAACTCCATACTGTGTAAAACACTATGTGAAAATAAAAAAATATATATAAATTGTGTTTCTTAGTTGAATTCCTTGCAAACTGCCTCATACATGTAAGCATTTTGTGTTGACAGTACTAGTAAGTTGACTTCACAGCAGATGCTTTTGGCCAAATTCTTAAAACTTTAACAATCAAAGCACCATTTCAAAAAAGGAATGACATGGAGAAAAAAATCTTCACTTGTTTTGTCGAATCCAAAGCCTATACTTACATTTTCATCTAATAGTCTTTATTCAGTGCAAAATCTTAGTTTCAAACCAAATGCTATCCAATTAATCGTTTTATCAATATCAAATATAACAAGGGGCGAATGGGCCTTGACAGTCACCCAAATATGATGAGTTTTTCAGGCCATGAGCACTTGAGAACGAGAACTGGTCTGGACTCTTGTGCCAAAAGTTATCCAGTTTGGTGATGACTCTGTAACTATTATCATTTTTATGCAATGGTCTACTAGACGTTCAAGAGTAAAGAAGATAATTTCAACATATGACCAACGTAGCCGCACCCTGAAATACGATCCGTGATCCCAGGAGGCCTCAGTTATATATTTTTTGCTAATTATAATCATGCAAACAAATTGCTTACTACATGTCCTTGAGTAAAGTAAAGAGGACGACTATCAGAGATGCATGTTATTTACTTTCAATATATGACTAATTCAGTACCCCCCTGCGCTCTGAACCTTTGACCAAGGGCTATAACATTTAATTTTTGATAAAGGGCTCATTATAAAGTACAAAGAAAGAAACTTCTAGTATGCCAGATTTACATCAGTAAACAAGATGTTCAAAGGTGTAACGTATTTCAATATATGATCACTAAGCCCCACCACAGGGTCTGAATGCTTTACCCAGGAGCCATTAATTTATAATTTCATTAAGGCTGAAGTACACATTGTAATCAAGCAAACAATTTGCCCTGATACATGTCCATGGGTAAAGAAAAAGTTGAAATATTTTTTTTTCAATATGCATAACCAGCTTAGCCCTTCGCTTGTTGCGTCTTGAACCATGGGCCAGGGGGCCATGAATTTCACAAAGGAAAAGGGCTAAATGTTTATTATAACCATGATAATCATGCAAATAAGTTATCTCGTAAATGCCCATAATTAAAGAAAAGTATTCTCAAATGTGTCATGAATTGCAATATATGAAAAATTAGCCCCACTCTGAGGCCTGAACGCTGGGGCAAGAGAATATCACTTTTAGGATTTGAATGAAGCTTATGCACTCATTATAAATTCAAAAATTTAGCAAAATTGGTTAATGGTGGTTTAACAGTTTGAGAGAAGAAGCTGGAAATGAAAAGCCTACGACCGACGCACAACAAAAACGATGCATGACGGCGGACAAAAACAGAAAGCAATTGGTCACCTGGGCGATTTAGTTGACCGAAATAAGCTCATGGTCTGGCTGTTCTTGAGAAGATTTTTAAACAATTTAGCTATATTTCTCATGTTAAACTTGACCATTTATTGTGGATCCATCCATAGCCGGAGGGCCAATGGATGCTCGGATATTAATATGACTAACCCTGCTGTTCTGGAAAGACGATTTTAAAACTTTTTTCTTATATACAGACTTATGTAAAACTTTGATCCCATACTGTGGTTCCACCGAACTCCGAAGTGGCCATGATTTGAACCAATTTGAAATTAAACTATGTAAGGGGCTTTCACATCAGTTTCATATTATCTGGCATAGTGGTTCTTGAGAAGATTTTTAAATTTTAAATTTCATTATATTTTAATTATTTCCTCTTGAGAGACGGTCGTGTCCATTCATTAAAAAAATCTAATCCCTTTAACCAAAGTTGCTTTATAGCAAATTTGCTTCAATTTGGCACAGTGTTTCAGGAGAAAAATTAAGCTCGTCGCACAATGGACAAATACGGACAAAATTAGATAGCAATAACAAGGGAGAATCTTTAAATATAATTCAAGGGTATTTAATTTACAAGAGTTTAAGAAATGTTTCTCCACAAAAATATTCAATAGCTTAGTATTTTATTAATAAATGAAATTAAAATTACCTCATTTTCTTTTACTTTCACAGCCCCTTTAGTCCAATGAAAAAAGTACACCTTATCCATGGGATTTTTGTCTTTATTTCCGTAGTTAAAAGTTAAATCCTGGTAATTAAAGACCGTTGATAATATAAATATTAAAGCTAAATAAATGTTACCAGAAGCAAAAACCGATTATTTATGATATTTATGAATTTACTTAATGAAAGAGAAAATATTTACTTCCAGGAGAGGAAATTTAAAAACACTGTCTTTTATCCAGTTCTTTTCATTTATGTGAATGAAATGTTGTTTGAATAAACAAATCAATTGAATTTAGTGACATACACACTACATTACCTGGATTTCGAACATCTCGAGCTCTTTTTCATCTTGATCAAGACTATCCTTTAGTTTCTTTTCCATCCATTTTTTTAGGTTCAATATAGCATCCTTTTCCTAAAATCAATGATGTATACATTACGATGCTTGTTTCTAAGAACATATAGGAGTAATATTTCTACTATTTGAATGCACTATAAAGTCGCAGATAAAATTTAAAAAAAATACCTTCAATCAAAAGAAAAGTAATATTATTTCATTTAATGATGGATGCAAAAGATTCAATAAATGTTTTATCTTGTGTAGACTTAAAGTATTCATTTGGGTAAACCAAGCAATTTACCATTACCTTTGCTTTCTAAACATTTTAAAGACTATATTTTTATCAATTCACAGCTTAATACTATGTAAATCCCTATTGTATTTCAGATGTTTTGCCAAAGTCTTTTGTACATTAATATTCCCACAAAAGAATACATCATACGTGCCTGTTATACGAATTAATGATTGATTGTATGTTGTTTTACGCCCCATTCGAGAATTTTTCACTCATATAGAGACGTCACCATATACCGGTGAAGGGCTTCAAATTTTGACCTTTACTCGGCACTTAGGGCCATTGAGCAGTGAGGGATCTTTATCGTGCCAACGCCTGCCGTGACACGGGGCCTCGGTTTTTAAGGTCTCATCCGAAGGACCCGCAACTTTCACTTCAAAGTGCCGAGCGCATGGCGAAGGAACAGTTGCTACCCATTTTTTATCGACTTAGGTCAGTCGCGGCCGAGATTCGAACTCACGACCTCCCGATCACGAAGCGAGCGCTCTACCGACTGAGCTACCGTGAACGGTCGTTATACGAATTAAAAAACATTTATTTCAAAGTTCTCATCTTTAAATTTTGTCACCTTCACACTTTAAAACAAGTTTTTCTATAGTATATAGTGAAGATTTTATGAAACTATCTGTCATATACAGAGTACAGTCCCTGAAACGTTCTACTTTCCCACTTGAACGGTGAGCGAACGGTGAACGAACGGTGAACGAACGCTGAACGAACGCAGAGCGAACGGTGAGTGAACGAAGAGTGAACGCTGAACGCAACTTGGTGAACGAAGAGTGAACGGTGAACGGTGAGCGAACGCAGAACGCGAACGGAGCGCGAACGCGAGCGCAAAGTGAACGCTGAACGCACGGTGAACGCAAAGTGAACGCAAAGTGAACGATTTTTTCGGAATTTCTCGGGTGTTTTCCTTATACTGTACTTATCCCGTAATCACATGAGAATAATTAATTTAATCGGTGAATAAATCTTTTTGTATTAACATTACCAGATTAGTTAATATCGTGCACTTTTTCTTTTGTTGAAAAGCAGTAAAAAAAACCTATATGGACATCCACTGTACATTTGATGCATCATATATACAGTACATGTACATGTAAACGTATAAATGTACCTTGGTATTTCTTACAAGATAAACGTGTACTTGTGTATTTTAGGCGCCGTTAAATATGTCCTTCGAGAAGAAAAATATTTAGCAAATAAATAAAAAATTAGCAATAAATGTTAATGGTAAGAAAAATATTTTTTTTATTTTTTATTTATTTATTTATTTTTTTTAATTAATTAATTTATTTATTTATTTATTTATTTTATTTTATTTTTTTTTTACATTTTATCGATAATTCAAGAAGTTGCGCGGAGTGGTTGACGACGATTTTTCATTTTATTACATTAAAACTAAAGAGGGACGTCATTATATTCCCTTTTGAATTACTGTAAGTGTTGTGCGTAAATTTAAGTGTATCAGTAATTACATGTAACATACAATCATATTCATCAATAAAAATACTTATACACCTTTATGTTTATATTTTTGGAATCCAGAATGCAGTTTTATTTATTCTGTCATATATTGTTTTAGAATTTTTTTTTTTTTTTTTTTAATGAATTGTTCAAGAATGAGTATAATTTAATATCACTGATATATGTTTCTGGCCAAATCCTTTGAAAATATTTACCGGTTGCCGGTGAAGCAAACGTAATCGTTAATTCCATTTTCGACTTCCATATTTCTTAATATATACCTTCAATATAAAAAGCAAGCAAATCATTTTGCTCATTGATAAAATATACATTTAGCTACCAGTTCTTTCAACTTACATATTACAGATATTTTCCTTATTTTACAAAAGCAATGAATACTATGGGGTTTTCATAGCAAATAAATTAAAATAATTTACAATTATGTTATATATATTATGTGTTATAACTTCATATCAAAAGACGCATACTCTGTGTAATTTACCAAAGCTCTAAAGTTGCACAAAAACTAATTACATGTCCAATGTTTACCAAACGGGAGAATTAAATAAAATGTGTGTGTCAAGAAAATGGTTGTGGAATGAGCGCTGCAATGCTAGGCATGGCTTCAAAATTTACGGGCTCTGCTGTAGAGGGATATGTGTAATAAACAAACACCCTCAGTACTCCAAACGAGGACGAGAAATCTACCTTAAACAAACAACAGAAGGAAAAGGTATTCCATGTCAACATGTCAACGGTGGAAAAGGTCTCCTAAAACAGTATAAAAGAACTTGATTTTGAGACTTTTACTATACCACAACCAGCGACAACAACCCACGTACATGTAAGTACAAAATTATTATTATTATAATTATTGTAACTCTAGAAAATTTTTGAAAACACAGTTCAACTTTGACAGAGATAGGAAATAAATATTTCAGATTCTATCTTTTAAGCAACGTAAAAACAAAATTCGTATCTATAGAGACCTTTTTTTAAAATTCTGAAATAACTTCATCAGTGTTTATAGTAAATAACTTGAAATAATAAACAGGATATAAATATTACATATTTTATACGTAGATGTGATAAATTGCAATATTTTGATCTGATCAGGCTGTTATTTGTAAATTTTTAAATAAATTAGAAAATACGAAGACCTTAAATAGTGCATGATAATGTAACATATCATAGCCATGCCTTCACTGAAAATCGAATTTATTTCTTATTGGAAGTTGAAATTAACCGAATAGATGAAATTTAAAAAAAAAAAACCAATATTTTAAATAGGTCTTGCCGAAATAATCTTAAATATTTTTTTTTATTTCCCGGCGAAAAGAGGGGTGGTGGTTAAATTTTACTAAATCATTACGTATAGAAATCGTATAGAATAAACCATGCACAAAAAGTGGAGGGGCAGTAGTACATGTATAATATAGTGTTCCATGTAATACCCTCTCTCCGGTTCTAAATGCTTTATGCTTTTGCCCTATACCCCAATCTATAATTTGTTTATTATAATCAGATCGATAAATAAGAGAAAAAAGTAATTGTATATTATAATCAGATCGATAAACAAGAGAAAAATATGTGCAACCCGTGTATTCGCTTTTTATCAATATTATATTTACATATTAATTTTACAGGTTCGTCAATAACTGACAATTTACACGTAAATGCATGAACTAAATTTTTCAATCACAACTTATTTGTCGGCCCAATACCCAATGAAAACTATGCTAAAATCTCAGGGAAAATTATGTCTATAATTAATTATATGTCTGAAGTAGTTGCCAATACTTCGCCAGCTTCCCATGATACTGTAGAGAAAGAGAATAAAAGTTCACCTTACATCTTTTTTGTTGACTATGATAAAATAACTTCCATCGAAATTAATTACAAGAAAATTAATTTAAAAACCATTTTCAGTCTCTGAAAAAGAAAAGATACAAATATATATATCTATATTTTGCCTGTCTAGGTCTAAGATTGAACACTAGCATTAGTTAAAGTTTAGTTACCTTTTAGTTACAATACATGAAAATAAAGAACAAAAGAATTTCATCATGTTTCATTTTAACAAAAACTTTTTTCTTTCATTTGAACACTTCATCATCATTTTTGTTTCTGTCTGGAGTCCGAGGTTAATAATAATACATTTGACCCCCCCCCCCTTCCTTTCCAAACACACACTTTTTATTTCAGCATGGTCGAATTCTGAAAAACTCCTCAAAGTTGAGAAATTTTGGAAAATAACTTTATGAAAAATTAAAGAAAGATATAAACCCACCCACAAAAAATTAAGGGATTTTACAGTGACTGGAAACCAAATCTGAATTAATTCGGTATGTGTGACGAGCATCTGTTCTCCTTTTCGATAAAAAAGGGATTTTTTGGCTCCTAGGGGAAAGGATGTTCGTCTCACCCCCCTCTATTTCAGTCTATCACTAAAATCCGGGGGGGGGGGGGGGGGCGTAGTATAGTAAACAGGTAAAGGTAGCTATTTGTACATGTAGGTATATTGAGTTACTTATGCTCTTAAGTGAAAAACAGTTTGATTTGGTATGATTAAGCAATTTTTCGCACGAGAGAAAAATAGCGAAAAAATGTACCTAAAAGGCGGTGCCAAGATATTTTACAACCAATCACAAACTAGATTATACATCAGCATATACTGTGGCATTAGTCTAGTCTAATCACAATGTAGGTATGATTTCATAAGGTGTGAATGTCAGCTGCCGGTATTACACGGGGAAAAAATCTGCTTGTAAAAAAAAAAAAAGAAAAGAAAACAACAACAACAACCGAAATTCAAGTTGTAACAAGAATAAAATTTTAACATTAATCCGATCCCCTATAAAAAAAAAAATAGATCTAAATTTGGCGATGATATCAGCATCCTCAAAACGCGCGGAACGTTGGGCCACGTGTGGACCAGAGTGGACCTCTCCGTGTGGACATATGGGTATGATTTATTACAGTGTATGTAGACTAGATTTTAGGTAGGCCGTATGTTCATTTTATGAGTTGAAAATTCCAACGAAATATATTATTGGTGCATAGAGTTAAGAGGTACAGTTTTTGATTGTTGTCGGTGTGGTATCCCACGTATCTCGAATTTCCTCTGATGAAATTAATACGTGTATGTAAATTTTATGCAATTAGTAATGTTAAAATTTTATTAGGAAAATATTATTTATAATTTTACACATTTATAAAGATTTCATGTATATATCAGTATATGCGTGATATATGTTTGCGTCTTGGAGGAGAGGGGGAAACGGGTACGTCAACTTTATCATGGGCTTATAAGCCAAAGTTCGTAAATCACACAACATAATTATTAATTGTTACATACACAGCGTAGGGTTATGAAACGAAGTTGGACCACCATGAAAGTTAAAAAAAAAAGTACAGCATGCACGTGCACTATTTAACCTATTTTTCAAGAAAGGACTTCCCAACTTATAAGTATCACAATACAAACAAAATATTAATTACCATTAAAATTATGCATTTTGGCCAATCTCTTTCAAGTAAATGGGCCCAGTGGGACAGTGAAAGTATTGAGAGGACTATAATAAGATAAAATAGGGTAGTTAAATAGAGAAAACATTTTAAACATTTTATTGGCAAGCACACTTCCAAATCTGCAAAGATATTGACAGATAAATTAACACACAATTTATTTTATATCTAAGCCTAAACACTTTACAAAAATTTTAAAAGATGATAGCCCAAGTGACCAGTGAAAAGAAATAATTATTTCTAGGCTTACGACGAAAGAAAGCAATTTTATTGTGTTAAGGAACACTATATTGTTTGAGTGTAAATTAGATAATGTTCTCTTTGTTAGTATAAATTTAGTATTCTGATGAAATTAGGCAACTGCATGGAAATAAAAATCCAAAATCTGTACATGCATGCAACCGCCTTCACCTACCAAAAAAGGTTTTAGAATTTCAGGTAGAATCTATGTCGGAAAAGTTAGTGTAACAAATGTTTCAAACTTTTCAAAAATTAATTAGCACTTGCTTATATATTTATCAATGAAAAGTATATGGCGGCTAGGTTCTCTTGTTATTAAATGCAGTGCACCCGGTGCAACTTGGAATGAGAATTACATGTTATATACACTAGTTGTGACTATAATCTTATCCAAAATTAGGGGTACATGATCATAATTTAAGGAGAATATAAACAATCACAAAATACTTCTTCAAACATCTTGGTTTATAGATTTTATTAACCGAACAATAGTTAGTAATATTCAAAATTAAATTCTTTTTCTTCAATTGACATGAAAGATTAAGGAGGATGGGGGGTCAACAAATTAACCATCAGATATAACTTAATTTTTTTTAGATATGATATCTTAAGCTGTCAACTATCATTTGGCAAACAAAAATTTCATACATTTTAGTTTTAAAATTTGATCATTTTTGTATATCTTTATATGGAGCTCTTCTTGTAAAGGAGATCAATATAGTCTGAAAATGGCCACAACCACCCATGCAGCCCTCATATATATCCACAATTCAACAAATATTTATGTATATATAGGCAAATGTGCTAATATTTTTCAAAGGATTTCTTAGTCAACCTAGGATCAATTTGTAATTATTCACCAGAAGTCTTTGTGGCAGTGTTTTCAATTCTTAGTATGATGAAGAACATAACCAAATGATTACGAAAAGTGATTAAAATGTTTACTGGAGGCTTTCCCCTCAAACAAACGAGAAAGATGTCTTTCAATACTACTTCTGTTGACCTCTTGCACTTGCACAGGATTTAATGATTAAATGAAAGTTTTGATGTTCCTTCAGATATACATTGTGAATGTTTATCATGTGTTTATCAAAAATGTAATTTTCTAATAAAAACAGTATTTTAGCAGAATATCATTATTTTACATGAACAATTAAAATTTACGCTTAAAAATATACATGCTTGCCCTAGATCTCCTGATATAGGGTCGGTAGGTATAGTTTAAGAAGTATTTTATTCACAATATACATAAAAGTATATATAATGAACATGGATTGAACAGCAGGGAAAAATGGCCTATGTTGGCCTACATATTAGCATATTATTAGTTCATTAAAGATCAAGGTACACATCATGAAATGTTACAATAATATATATCACATCATACTTAAAACTTTTCTGTGTATTTGATTACTTGAAAAAAAAATCATGTATGACAAAATGTTGACATGTAAAAGAAAAAGTGAGAAATGCATTAGAGAAAAATATATGTATATTAGTCCAAATAAAAAAATATGTGTGGTTCCACTTACCCGGCCTTCCCCATTTTATACCCCCGACCCTAAACTTTTTTTGGCAATTTTCATATTTTTTCTGGTATTTTTCCCGATTTTTATCAATGGCTCCGGTTTAGGTTTAAGTTTCAGCAATGGCGGCCTCCTTGCAAAACATAGTGCTAGTATTTAATAGTGTTAAATCCAAAGCAAGCTAGCATGTAGGTGTCCCCTACCAATATTGACTAGTATATTATCACACCACATCTAAATGCCATTTGAAAAGCAGTGATAGGTATTATTTAAGAAAATCATTTTGATTACCTACCTACCTACCCTAATTTTTTTGGAAGTGTAACCAGAACCACACATTTTTTTGTTTGGCCTTAATGCATTTAATATGGGGTGACACAAGATATAACTGTCATAAATATCTTGAATTTTTTGTATTATGTTGTGATAATAAATTATTGACCTTTATATTCATTATACCCCCGCTCCGAAGGAGAGGGAGGTATACTGTTTTACCCTTGTGTGTCTGTATGTCTGTGTGTCCACATGTCTGTCCATAACAAATTTTTCTCGCATTTTTACTTAGCAACTATGCATTGCAGATGCTCGAAATTTCAGCACAATCTTTGTTTAGGCATGCCATATAATGGAATTTATTTTTTGAATCTGATGTCAACTTCCTGTTTATCCGTGCATCTGTCCGTAACAAATTTCCGTCACAGATTTCTCAGCAACTGCTCAGTGCAGATGCTTAAAATTTTAGCACAAGCTTTGTTTAGGCATGCAAATGGTTGGATTCATTTGTGTATACACGAATTTGATGTCAACATGAAAATGTATATTCACATCAGAGGGTTTTTTTTTAGTGAGCATTCGCTCACAGACTTCTTCTTGTCTCGATCATTGATAGGCATAGTATTTTATTACTTCTGAAAAAGGAAACAATGCACTATACTGCAAATTATTTTCTACTTGAATCTCTAATGTTTATATATTTGAAGTAATAAAGAAATAAAACGAGAAAATGAAAGAATTACCTATCAATAATTTGATACAAGCTATTAATGAAAAAAAAAATGGCCATGCATGCACTACACTGATGATGCAATACACCCTAGCTGCAGATTCTTGTATGTTAATTCTCATGCATGCAAAATATGGTTATATATACTTTCAAATATTTTGGTTGCAGTTAGCACAAGTTGCACAAATTTCAGACTTCCTCTCTCTCTCTCGATCGATCTTTTTATTGAATAGATGTCCCTTTTAAAGAAAAATTGGTCCCTAAAAAGACCTTGAAATAAATTCAGTGATTCCTTATAAATATCAACTTTTGAAGATAAAGATAGATGCCTTAATCTCTGCACAATTCTAATACATGTGGCCATTTTTTTCATCCCTTTTCGAAGTATCATTTAATGATTTCAATGAGAATACACTGTAATTTTAAATCTGTGGATTGTTTTAGCAATTCTGGTTTACAAATATAAAAAGGAGTATGGTTTTACCTTAAAAAGCGAAATTCAATGTAATATCACTGAATCAAATTGTCATGGGTTATATTTTTATATGTCAATAAATGTCAGAATGTCTTGGGTTATATATTTATGAAAAATATCAATTCATGTATTCCTTATTTCAGGAGAAAATGGCTTCCCTTGCACTTGTGCTCTTTGATGTTGATGGATGTACTGCCATTGTAAGCAGCAAAAAACTGGGAGATCCCAAGGAGCTGAAAAAGGGACAGCATGCACATATTAGGCTTAATCAAGAGCAAATGAAAGTAGAGATTCTGGAGTTGTCAGGTAAGCTTTTGTTCTCACTATAAGAAGTTTATCCATGATCAGAATTTATCTTTCAGTTACTTTCCATTTTATTTTCAATTTAACATTAGTGTTCCATGACTAAATATGACATGCCACTAAAATATGTGTAATATCTTATGTAACTAAAATGCAAAAATAATACACATTTTGACAAGTTTCTGACTAGAAACATTAAATGGCTATGCACCCTTCTTTCCTCACACTGTCTCGGAAAAAAATATTTGTTTATTCTATCATCAGTAAGAATCTGTACTTAAAGGGAAAAGAATGAAATGTGTAGTAAATACTTTATAAACAGAACATGCAAGTTGTACAATTGAAAGTATTTCTATGTACGGGTATATCAAATATAACATTTTGTAAGTTAAAGATCTAAACCACTCCTGATGATGACACTTGAGTACGGACCCTTTTACTTAATATGTATAGGAATTTTGTAGATTCAAAAACCTTCCTAAACAAATTTGAGGACGAATGGACCAATACCCATAGATCCATAGCTTTGGACAAAGAGAAAAAGAGAAGAAAAAACAAACCTCATGGATACTTGCAAGTGTGGCCCACTGATATGGTAAGAAAGACTTGTAAACTGGCTTTAATTTTTGTATTTAAAAATACAGTGATTGTAGTGATTTATGTCACCTTCCTTAGGTTGTAAAATTAGTTTATGTAGAACAGTTGTCACTTTTTAATGACAGTCGTAAGCTAGACTCTCCTTGACTGTGTCAATTCATTGTTTTAACAGGAAGATGCCACACATTCATCAGATGGAGAAGATGGAGAAGACGGAGAAACAGTCACTGAGGTGAACGAGGTAAGTTATCTGCAGAGTTCATTTAGTTGAAAGGCCATCCTTACTAGGATAAGTGATTATTACTGTAGAGAATTGTGCCAGCAAATGTATGCTGAAATTTAATGCATTCAAATTATGAATTAGGTGTCAAGAAGTCATTAACATTAAATAAAAATTTTATTTGAGAGGATAGAGGGTTCTTGAACCTTAAATAAGTATGTTGAGCCTAAAGTAATTGTAGTAAATATATATAAATTGAATCACTGAAGATTAATGATTTGAGTGTATTGAAAAGTGTATTTTTGTTTTTTTAAATTTACAAAGTGAGTGAGTAAGAGATAAACCTGATAAATATATTTATTATATATTTTATTTTACATAATTGTTGATACTGTCTTATTTGATCAGAAATACTGCATTTATGTTTCAGACTGCCAGAAACGTGTCATCAACTAATTCAAGTACTGAGGGCAAAAGAACCGGATCAGAAAACAAGGTAGATAATTTATGCAGTGCAAATTTAAGGTTGTTGCATGTTTGGCTAATGTGTGGAATAATCATTGTTGGGGAGGGGGGGGGGTTCAAACTTTGTTGGTAATCAGAATTTAACTGGTTCATGGGGACATCATTTGTGGGTAACTTGCATATTTTAATAAGAAAATAAATCAACTCTGCTAATTGTGTGTGTGTTTCATGAGTAAGGGCTACCAACCAAAACTAGGAACATGGATCCTCAACGATCAATGATGATTTTATGCAATTAATTCTCTGCTTAAAAAATAACATTGCTCATTTCCTCTTTACAGAAACAACAGGAAACAACAAAGTCACAGAAGTCAACAAGGACAACAAATGAAGGAAAAGAAAAAACAGTAAGTTACTTTTTTACACACTTTAAGCTCATCTGAGCCAAAGGCCCAATAAAGTTGTTCTGATCAAAGTTTGTCCCTTGTCTGTTGGTGTTGCTGATGTAATGATCATAAACTTTTCTGAAGAACCACTGGGCAATTGCCACAAAGCATTATTGGATGAAGGGAATTAAAGTACTTTAAATAAAAGATCACATTCTTATCTAAGAGGGGGGGTGATTAAGAATGGGTAAAAATTAGTTGGCATATTTAGTTCACCTTAGCTTAATGCTCAAATAATTTAATTTCAATATAGGGAAAATTCTAACATGTCTAACTGGGTGTTGATACATGCAAATTTGTTTGCCCATGGCAAAATTTAAGCATCTTGGGCGGTCTGGCACATGGTTAATTCACTGTATGAAGGGAAAATGAAGGGTTACAATCTCATTCAAAGGGAGGTAATTTAATATTAGTAAAAATTTAATGGCATCTTCTTGGCAACTTCTGAGGTCAGAAAAGTTGAAATTTAAATGAAAGCTTCATTAGTGTATAGATTTAATTTTGTTCAAATCATGACCCAGTGGCTGGAGAAGGGCTACAATAAAAGCTTTTTATATAAGAATATTTAAGAAAAAACTTCTCAAGAACTGCAATACCATGATACTGTATTACGACGGGGCCATAGTAGAAGATAAGATACAAAGGAATATATGGAAAAATTGTAAAAATCTAGAAATGATTAGTTATATTTCTAGGGGAATTATCTTCGGTGATTGTAGATTCATGTTTGTTAAGTTCATGACCCTCTCCCCAGTCCCTCTTGGGTAGGTTGGGACCACTTAAACTGAACCCATTCCTTCTTTTCTTTACTCAAAGTGTTCAAGTGAGTGATGTGGCCCATGGGCCGATTGTTTAAACTGGGCCTTGAAATGGCCCCATTACTAGATAATTAAGAGCCCTAGAAAAGAAAAAACTTATTTGGAAGTAATTTTGACTCCAAACATAGATATCAGTTTTAGAGGTGTAACAATACAGCAATACCTTGATTATATTGATCGCAAGGGCTCACAATACGTGTATCGTATTGCCATGTATGTATCTTGATACAGTACAAGATAATTTTCATTGTTTTGTTTGAAACTTCTACATACAACCTAACAAATTTTAATGTTTTAAAAAGGCTGGAAAAAAAGGTAGCAAAGAAAAAATACAATGTCAAGACTATAAATCTGCCTTTTTTTAAAACTTTGGTCAGGTGTATCAAGATATTCTTCTATATTTTCTGTAACTGTGGAGGTTAGCAAAGAATGATAATGGTTAATTCAATTGTTGACAACTGTATGATGATACATGTTGTATCGCATGATTGTATCATGATATGTATTGTATCGTTAAGTAGCTTGGGATACTCAGGCCTAATAAGTTTCCTCTTTCAAGGGGAAATGATGTAGAATTAGTGACAATTTCAACCATTCTGCTGAAAATCAGCAAAATCTTATTACTTTAAAGTGATTACTTGTTTAATTTAAATGCCAAAAAAAAAAACATTTTTGAGTGCAGAAAGGTCAAATAATTCACCATGCGAGATAATTTGAAAGTTTTTCTTTGTAATGTGTCTCTTAAAAATAAAATAAGACTGTATTTGGACCCATGATTTATGTGGATAAAAACATTGGTGGGAAAATTGATTTCTTCGTAAGACAAATTCAGTGCAAAGAGGTCATATCAAATGCTCTATAGTACCACAGTGTGTAGATTCTAAAAATATATGACAAAAAAAAACTTAAATCTTTTCATAGCAGGATGATACCTTCCTTTAAGTTATAATGATATGGGAGCTTCCTCAGGTAATGTAGGTTCAACTTTGTCAGTGATTTTTCTACACCCAATTTAGGTCCAAATATTGGCCCTTTCCCCTATCAAAAATTACTGATTTTTGCTCAATTTCAGTTGCTTTTTTCCCGAAATAAAACCGTTGTTGTTTTTGTTATATTGAATTTTTTACGTACAACTTATCTAAAATAGAATGCTATTGTTCTGGGTCATTCAGATTCTTAAATAATAGAGAGGAAGAGCAGATTATTTTGTGCATTTACAAAACATAGAAAAACACATGGATCATGTCAAACTTGTGTGTAAATACATCGTAAGAACGTGTAAGATGCATGTGAACCGGCGAAACATAGCCTTATTTGAAAATCAAAGTACTAGTAATTCTACAACAGGCATCCCTTATTCCATGAAAATCAAATTTTCTACACTTGGCAGATGCAATTAATATTGCAGGGTAATTGCAGCAGTATAATTAGGGTAATTTAGAAAGCTTTAATAATGAATCAGAAAAAATGATTTGTTATTAATCATGTCAGATTATTCCATCTTCAATGGCTATTACGAGTAGTATTTACTCTTATGTATACCATTATGGCCAAAAAAAAAGGAAAAATAGGACGATCACATTGACTGGGAACTTTCAAAGATTTAAAAAAAAAAAGTTAAAAATGTAGAACTACATATGTCTAATTTGTTATTTTGTAGCAAATTGTAAAGGCCCAGGCTCCATATAAAAATGTAGAAAAATCACTGTTTGTTCAATAATGACGCCCCCCCCCCCCTCCCTTAAAAGGGTGAGGTCTTAATGGGCAGTCAAAAGAATTCTTAATTATCTTCTCAAGGAAAGCACACGTGTGATACATGTAAGTCATATTGATATGGAAGCATCTTCAGGTAGTGTAGATTCAAATTTGTTCAAATCATCACGATCAGTCATGTTGATAATGTTACATCCTCAGGTAATGTAGATACATGTACAAGTTTGTTTGAATCATAGCCCTTGGAGTTGGGTACATGTACGACCACAGTAGGTAATCAACATTTAACAAAGATATGTATGGTGAATAGATGATGATATTTTGTAAACAGCTAGGTTACTTAAATGAGCATTATGGCTTATTGGTATCTTGTTTAAATTAAGATACATAGTAAACAAGGTGATTTTGGTGATCTTTGTGGCCCATGGGCCTCGTTTTACAATAATCAGCCAAAAAAATTACTGAGCAGGATCCGGTTGCACGAACGTTAGTTAAATTATATTCCAATTAGTGCTGTTAAGTTTTTAACGACGAGTAACTGTCAGTTAAAAATTTGTTGTTCAAAAGTCTATTAAAAATAAATTAGCTAACTCACATTTAATTGATGTCATATTTAAGTCTCTGTTAAAATCATTCTACATGCACATTTCCCTTACCTATGGTGTAATATTTCTGATGTCATAATTAAAATGTGATCAATTCATAAATGTTAATTTCCTAAGGCTATTTACTTTAAATGTTACTCTTATATTGGTAAAATATATTAAATAGATTATTAAAGATAGTTACTTCAAATATGAGTTTTTACATTGAAAGATGGTCATTTTACATGCAGTATAAACAATGCAACTACTTGTACAAAGTATGTACATGTAGTTTTCAGTATTAAGTTCTAGGACGAGGCATTGATTTTTGGGAAGGTATATTGAAAATAATTTTTAAAATCTTTCAAAAAAGTGGGAGAACATCCACCCCCTCCCCATTTCATGTGCCTAAAGTTTGTGGAATTGAACGATTAACCTACTTTTCAGTAACTTCTCTGAGGTTAATTTTTTTTTATTATGATCTTTTAAATAAAAAATTACAATTATTGTATGCATAATCGGATAAGAAAGTACTACATATCCCTCAAATGGAATGATTTCATTTTCTTGTATTGCAACATACATGCGCAATATATATATATGTATTATAATACAATCTTATCGAAATTGGGATTGAATTTGCGTTTTGCTCAAGTCAGACATTTCTGTTTTCCTTCCCCGCAAACTTTGATTTTTATGTTAAATTTAATATTTAATGTACCTAGGTAACCTCAGTTCAATCAGAAAAATAATTAGGCTTTAACTGTTAGTAAACTTTTGTGCAACCAGTTTAACTCGCCGTTAAATTTAACGTCAGGTTAACGCAAAGTTTATGGCCAGTTACACATTCGTGCAACTGGATCCTGAACATTAATTTTAAAATGCATCCACATATCCCCGGTATTTAAAAAAAATTCTTTTTGCAGGGATCAAATGGAAGAAAAGTAACAGTGCTCCACGAAGGGTCTGGTGACTTAACAACAAACATTTGTACACCAAAACGTGCCCCGGGTTTTTTAGAGGGATTATCTGGAGATGAAATCGACTTAATACAAAGCCAAATCCAAGATTTTCGGCAAGGGAAAAGAAGTGTGGCAGTACAAACGGATCAGGTGGTGGTTCTTGGACCAAATGACAACATTCCGGAAAAGAAGTTAGAGGACATGTTGAAGAGAATTCTCGAATCACAGAACAAAGAAGTGTTACCTCTTCTTAAGGAAATTTCTGGGACCCAATTAGCAAGTGCGCTGAGCATCCTGAAAACCATAAGTGATGTTGTTTCAACTAGGGACTTCCAGGGCCTGTTGCTATCTGGACTAAGCCAGGAGAAGCCCTTGCCAGTCCTGAGATTGCGGGAGAGTTCATCATCTCTTCCAGATGTAGACCTTTTGGATTGTCTCGAAACATCACATCCCACAGAATCAACACCATCTGCAACAGAGTCATCATTAGATTCTTCACCAGCATCCACCACCAGTATTCCGCCTCCTTCATCATCTGGTACATCACCAGCATCCACCGCCAATATTCTGCCTCCTTCATCATCTGGTACATCACCAGCATCCACCTCCAGTATTCCACCTCCTTCATCATCTGGTACATCACCAGCATCCACCTCCAGTATTCCGCCTCCTTCATCATCTGGTACATCACCAGCATCCACCTCCAGTATTCCGCCTCCTTCATCATCTGGTACATCACCAGCATCCACCACAAGCATTCCTCCCTCTACAGCACTGAGTAATCCACCAGTCTCAACCCATGTTTCAACTTCTGCACCATTGTGTTCACAGACATGTTCCACTCCTGTGCCAGCATGCGTTCAAGTTTCCACAGTGGTCAGTACTCTGCCAGCATCTCCATTGCCTCCTGAGAAACCAGCATCAAACACTCAGATCCCTCCCAGCAGGGAATCACCAAGTGCATGGCCAACTTCTAATGGAAATGTTACTGCTCCATCAACAGCTGAACCAATTATATCTCCTCCTCCTCTCAATTCCAGGCGTGGAAAGAAACCCTTCAATTTTGAGTGTGCTCCTGGACCACTGCATGAAATCAGCAGTCCCAATGACATGGCAGGAATTCCATCAGATGCAGAGGTACGCATACGCCAATCTGTCATCAGTGATGTATTGGAAGAGTCATGTTCCAGAGGTAACCTATCATGGAGGTTGACCCAAGCAGTCTACCGATCAGATGAACTCAGTGGGAGAAATTATAAAGGAGGAAGAAATAAACTTGCCCTTTCACCACGCCGTCGCCATGCTGTGGAGCATGCAGTAATTGAAAATTATGGAATGACAAAGGAGACCTTTTTTGACATTTATTCAAGTGTTAACACCGGCCTGAGAAACATGAAGATGAGGAACCGTTTTCCACTCCTTATCGTTACCCCCAACAACAACAGTCAGTAGCCAGGACTATCCATGTGATGTTGACACATTTTGGTATCTTACTTACATGTTGTACATGTTTTCACCTTTGTAAATATTTATGCTACATTTTGATAGCAATATTTATTTGAAATTAAGTTAACAAATCATCTACTTATTGACATGTATTGAGATTTCATTGTTTCAATAATTAAATTAATGTCCTTATTCGATAAACATTTAGAGAATTAAATACCATATCAATACAATTTTATGTTTTTCTTTTTTAAATAGATATTATAAAGAATTTTGAGAATATGCATGATAAAAGAAGATAATACACAATCAATTTAACCACATTTTAATTAATGTGATTGTTATGAGAATATTTCTGACCTTTCATCAATCGTTAGCCCTGTTTCACAAAAGAACTTGTCAATTAGTTAACCAAGGCCACAGCACTATGTTAAATAAATTCAGCTGTATGTAAACTCTGGTTGAACTACAGTTGAACTTTGGTATCTCAAACAAATATCTCGAATACCATGGATATGTCAAAGTCATTTTGAAGTCCCAACAACTTATTCTTTATGTATTTTACCCTGGATATCTTGAATCCTCGGTTATCTCCAAGACTTTCCTGGTCCCTTCGAGTTTGAGATGACTAGGTTTGACTGTAATTGTTTTTTCAGGAAATAATGGGCATAAAAAATTTCCAAAAACTTGCGAAAAAGACAAATGTCATTTGAAATCAATTTAACAATTTTATTTACAAAATAACATTTTTGGTTTAGTCTTCATAATACGGGGCTCTGATTTATGAAAAAGTAAAGGAGTCAAAGGATTTATTTTGGGTTAACTTTAGAAATCAGTAAAAATCATACTGTAATTTGCTTTGCTAAGTGACCAGCCAATGAACCATACATGTAATAAGCAACATTCTGCTTTTTCTGAAACTTACTGAATTCAAAACAATTGTCATCAATCTATAAACACCTCTACTCATTCATAGCTGAAAAAGACAGCTAACAATGTAGACATACAACACAAACTTTAAATAGAGAATCTCAAAGCTTTCATGATTGATCATTCATAAATTAACACAAACAACATTTTCAACTTTTATTTCATTGTTGACTAATGAAATATCGTATCCTTCACAATATTGGATGAAAAAATATGCCACCCATTTCTGCATTTTATTACTCTGTGGTGGTATGATCTTGTTGATTTGCAATATCGTAACTATGTTCAAGTATTATCCTAAAAAATCTATGTAAGCAGTATCTGTGATCATGAACACTGAATAAAAACATTTTAAAATTTCTGTCACTGTCAAATGAAACTAAAAGTCCATTTTAGAATCTAAAAGTCACTGCCATCATGCACAGAGCATATGGAGGAAATCAGTTTCACAAAGAATATGTGAAATTAGCAAAATGGGTAAATCACTGTTCCATATATAAGCAAACCCGATGACCTGAATATCTTCTGTCACTGTCAAATGAAACTAAAAGTTTCACAAAGAATATGTGAAATTAGCAAAATGGGTAAATCACTGTTCCATATATAAGCAAACCCGATGACCTGAATATCTTCTGTCACTGTCAAATGAAACTAAAAGTCCATTTTAGGATCTAAAAGTCACTGCCATCATGCACAGAGCATATGGAGGAAATCAGTTTCACAAAGAATATGTGAAATTAGCAAAATGGGTAAATCACTGTTCCATATATAAGCAAACCCGATGACCTGAATATCTTCTGTCACTGTCAAATGAAACTAAAAGTTTCACAAAGAATATGTGAAATTAGCAAAATGGGTAAATCACTGTTCCATATATAAGCAAACCCGATGAGCTGAATATCTTAGGCGGCTGGCTGTTGGAATACACAACAATTCATCAAAAGTTAGTTGGCCCACCTCTGTTCAGGATAACTTGAGGAATCACTCGGTGCACATGGTCTATGTACTTTCCACATTGTTCAGCAGACAAGGATTCCCAAAAACTCCTTATGCCTGTCACAAGCTGGTCCTTTGTTTTGGGTTTAACAACACATCTTAGATGTCCCTTCAAAGCTGACCATACATTTTCAATTGGATTCAGATCAGGTGATGATGCTGGAGTGGTCATAACACTTTCAGTCAGTCCCTGTTCTTTGATCCAGTTCTGGGTGGATTTACTCTTATGTTTACTGTCATTATCCTAAAAAAAGGTTGGGTTGAAAATAGCTAAATTCATCAAGAAGGACTATGTACAGGTATCAGCGAAAAAATTGAACATTAATAAAATTTAATTCATGTTAATTCTCATAACATGTACTACATGGTTCATCCAAATCTTATACTCAAGACTTTTTGAATGATTTTCATAACTTAACATGCAATTGAATCTTAATGCTATACTTCTTTTATCAGCAATACAATTGTTATGAGTGTATACTCTCAATCTTCATTTCCACTTTCAGTTTTACTAAAATTTAATTCTAAATTTCATTATTTTAATACACAGAACACTAAAAATTCAAGCATATGAAACATGATAAAAACTTAAGTGTCAAACCACTGATCATGCTGATCATGGGAAAAACATTTTTTTTTATTAGAAATAAAACTAATCCTTTTTTAGATAAAGAGGTAGATTGATAACAATGAAATACAAGTATTTTTCAACATTAAATTCAAAGACTCCCTGTTGATTTAAAAGACTTTTAAAGATCTAAGTAAATTCTATCAAGACTGCAAACCATGTACAGTACTAGCAGAGGAATACTTTGAGTTGAAATATTCGGTAGTCGGACGACCGGGGCTAATTGTTTTGAGACACAGCCTGGCAATTACTTAAATGAAATGATAGTCTGTTGGACTAGCAGACCCCCAAAACATCTTACAACCATGTGCCAGTTTTCATTCCTTTTCTTTGTGGAACGGTTTCTTTTGACTGAGAGCTAGTTTAATTTGTTTCTATCACTAAGTGCTTGAAACTTTTGTTATGTTCTCTCTTCGCATAATTTTTTTTTGATGTTTGGGTACAAGTAATAATTTTAAAATAATAAAATATCATACCCCGAATACTATATATTAATGGAAAGCAACACATTACCTGAAAGACACAGAAAGTTTGTTTGCTTACTTAATGTCCGTTTTCAGAATTTTCACAAAAATGTAAAAAAAAAAAAAAAAAAAAAAAAAAAAAAAACATGTTTTTAATGACCTTAGAATTTAAGTTATTAAACATGTCTTACTTGGTAAAGTCTGAATCCACCAGAGAATTTTCTGCGGGCAAATGGCAATAAGTTATCCTCCAGGATTTTCTGGTAGATAATAGAGTCCATTATTCCAGTAAAAATACATATGTCTGTGCGGCCTCTATAAGAAATGCCTCCCCAAACGTTGACTTTGTATGTGTGTTTGGGCTTTGGAGCCTTGGATGGCAAGCGGTCTAATTGAGAACCTGGTTGATAAAAGAAGAGTCTTCCAGAGGAGGACATTTCCACTGTTGTCTCGTCAACATAAATAACATCTTCATAAGTGTCTTGTTTGATCATTTCCTGTATGCACCACTCAAGCCTATGTAGCACATTTTTGTGTGAAATCATCTGGCCGTACTTGACATTGCTTGGTGTCCAGTTCAATTTTCTTCTGATGGCACACACATACTCTTTTGAGATCTTGACTCCATGTTGAGTTTCGAGGCGGTTCCTGATACTTTCAGCAGTTTCTTCTGGATTTCTCAGCATCCACATGTTGATAAATTCAATATGGACTTGTTGCAGCTGTCCTGTTTTATTTACCCTATAATACCATAAAAGTTCTTGAAACAGCAACAATGGCAATAAGGTCATTAAAGAATTTACCTACCTACTCACAAAAAGACATAATACAAAGATTTCTTGCAGAAAGGTAAACTGTATATTCCTTTGCAAATAAAGAAAGCAAATACTAAGTATGAACTAATTTGACAGATTCTAGAAAAAAATGTAGAAAGAACTTGATACAATTCAGAGATTTTCCACCAAAATAACCAATTTCTAGACTTCTTATTTTGTCAATGTAGGTTTTTTTCTTAACTGGTGTGTCAAAAACTTAGGTGCATGGGAATGCTAAACATACATCAAATCTGGAATGGCCTAAAATGTACATGAACAGAAACATGGGAAAGCATGTTTCAGGGACAGCACTTAAATTAGATCTATACTGCACTCAACACTGATGACAGCTAGTTTACAAGTCTGAACAATTTGATTTATTAATTGTTTAGAGCAGTTCATTTTACACCATACTCTTTCCATGTACTGGTATATATCTCACAGATAATACATTCATGTGAGCTTGGTAAAAAAAAAACCCATATACTTTAGAAGAAATTCAGGAAAAAGTAATCATTACCCCATTGATAATCAATTAATCATGTATGATCCATACAAAACTGTACATTTGTATCAAAAAAGATTTGTTTAAGTGACCGACATTCAATTAAAACATTACATTTCACTTGTTGTAAACTAGGCCTATTACTTTCTTACAGTTACACTATAATAAAAAAAAAAATGTCGGTTGAAAACAGTAGTTCTGTAGTAGATCTGCAGACGCATGTTGTAAATACACATTTAACATGTTTAGCAACAAGATTCTCTGTTCATAATAATAAGGTCAACCTAGTTAAATGCAAAAGCTCACCATTTTTCATATTAGAAAACGTTATCAGTGTCATCAACCTTCGTTTAGTATTTGTATAGGGAGAAATAATCCGAAGGGGAGCCGGTTCTGAAGACCTCGAACTGTTGAACTTCGAATCGAATGTTACCCAGAGGCTTATCACGAAAATTTGTATTCTTCAGTTAAAACTACCCCCTTCTACATGTATAAAAATACAGAATGTGTGAAACATAGATTCTAACCAAGTATTTCGTGACAAACCTGTGTGATCACCCACTGCAATCACTGTGATGCGGCACTCCTCGGAGCGCGCCATTTTGAAACATAATAAAGTACAAAACAACTCATATTCCGGATTACTGACTTCTATAACTAGTATTAGAATTAAGGGTTGTTGTCAAGTCTTTTACTGACTTCAAATAGCTGGTGACAGAACACAGAAATATTTAACCTGGAATAAATTGCTTTTTTCAAACTATATCTTCTTCGTGTATCTTCTATCAGTTCATTATTCTCGAAAAACATTTGTTTGTCTAGTGTTTATGAAAATACATGTAATTTGGGCCAAGCACTTTCCCAATGGCGTTTTTTATCGATATATTTTTTTGCAGTACACAAAATTCGATTTTCGACATCAGTCTTATTGAATTACCTGAAATAATCACTTTTAATAAAGCTTAACTTGCATCAATCGTAATTATAACATACTGTAATAACGTGAACTTTACATTTTGGGCAGTATAAATCATGAAAATAGAGACTAATTTTAAAAATCATTCTTTATTCGTTTCATTAATTATCAAGCTTTAATTGTCCATTCTTTAGATCCAATATACGATTAAAATTTACACATTATATCACGGAAATTAGTAGATAATCAGGTAATGGTTCACCGTAGATAATGATGTTAATCATGTCTGATTACATGTATAGCACATCGCATTGCTATTATATGTATACTTATGTGTAAATGTCAATATTAACAGAACAACCAACATGTGCGGATCTTCGGGGGAAAGGGGGGGGGGGCTTGTATTTTCTGAGTAATAATTAAATTCATACGACATGAAACTTAATTACTTCAATCCATCATAATTTGACAATATTTGAAGAAAGCAGAATCTCCGTGTACAAATGTGCCCCTTCAATTTAAATGACAGAGGTTTTTTTTTTTCTTTGAAGCGGCTCATTTGGGGGGGGGGGGGGGGGGGCGGTATCGAAGATTTGCACTTACAATGTTTTACACCACAACTTGTTGACTTGCATTTTTGCATTGCGATTGTCATTAAGATTATAAATACCGATGGAGAAATGAAAAAATCGACACAAAATACAATAAACAAAAATAGAAATAATAATCATACTACAAATTCTTTACTTTTATATACAAAAGTCAGTCAAGTTCTACATGTAACGCCTAAAAAACAGTAACGAAACCGGTTACTGTACCTTAAAAATTTAACTGCACATGGCTACATGTACAAGTATTTCTGAGAGAAATACAAAATAAATCAATTAGCAATTCAACAAGAAAATATTTTAGTGATTGAAAAAGAAAGAAATTAAAGCATACCTCTGATCAACCACGGAACCAGTTTTTTGAAATCGATTAATGAAATTGCGTATGCCTTGTCTCGAGGTCACAAATTGGTGGGTGGATTGCAGTTTTCTTTGAATTTTCACTGTAGACAGTCCAGCTGCTTTGTAGTTCACAATTAAATTTCTAATATTATATGAAAGTCTCCTTCCACCCTTGCGAACACGTTCCTTTTTCATTCTGTCGTCGCTAGAAATCGATCCTTTCACTTTGGAGTTCCGAATGACAATGAAGGCTGAACGATTAGTGAACGCTGAACGAACGGTGAGCGAACGGTGAACGCAAGGTGAACGCTATTTGAGTGAACGAAGAGCGAACGCTGAACGCTTTGTGAACGGTGAACGCGAGCGCACGGTGAACGGTGAACGCAAAACTGTGAACGGAGAGCGAACGCTGAACGCACGGTGAACGCACGGTGAACGAACGCTGAACGAACGGTGAACGAACGGTGAGCGAACGGAAAAATGGGAAAGTAGAACGTTTCAGGGACTGTAACTTGTCTAATCCGGATGTTTTGTATTCAGAAATCTCGCCTAATTCGATGGAAACTTTTAGTACCTTCAAGTTTATTCAATTATTTAACAGGTTGCCTAATCTGGAATGTTGTCCAATTTCTTTGGAACCAGTAGTGTCCGGATTAGACAAGTTTTACTGTATTACCTTATGTAAACTAAATGTTTATCATTTCATCAATTATCTGTAGTAGTGGAATTAGGCACTACATCTATTAAATATGGGTTCCCTTAGAACCTTTTGCTCTTTATTCTTTTTTCCATACGAGTATTGGAATTTCTCCTTTAAATATACCTTTTGCTTTTCACCCTTGAACTGAACCTTTTTCTCTCCAATTATTTTGTAGAAATCACGGCTCAGTATTCTGTCTAGTATTGTTTTAGCCTGTTTGACATTTTCATTGTCTTCAGATAGAGTCCTAATCCTATGGAAAACATCGTCTGTCACCCAAATGTACGCATCCATATCATCAATTGACTCTGATAAAGTCTTCCCGCTGAAGGGATAATTCTATTGCTAATCTTTCTGACTTGAAATAATGTAACAGTAAAATGTATCATAATTTCAGATAAAACATTGCTTTGGAAAACAATTGATAAATTTTAAACGAAATTACCTCTTTCCTTTCGGCTTGTTTGGTGGGAATGTAAGATACCTGTCAGCTTTGATAAAGGCATCTGAAATCCTGTTTGAAAACAAATTAAAATTAACTGGAAGATTAAAGAAATATTTAAAAGACAAACCAATTTTAAGAATTTATAATTCATGCGTTGTTAAGCATTTCAGGACAATTTTATTTGAAAATGTGTCCTAGAGGTTGTTTTAAAGATAATTGATCCATGTATTTTCCTAGATTTTTTTAACCTCCGCTTAACAGAATTTGTTTAAGGACAAGCATTCTAAGAGTATTGTATTAGCAATACTAGTCCCCTACCGGCAAATGTTATCTGGTTCCCCTTAAAAATCAAAAATGCCATAATTCCGTCAAAACCATTGAAGCGGAACGAAATTCAAACTTGATTTTTAACTAATCAAGGTAAAATCACATACCAAAAATCAGCTCAATATCTGCAAGCGTTTAGAAAAAAAATGCGGAAAACCCTTAAAAATTGAAAAGGTAGTTATTCCGTCAAATATCAATGAAGCGGAACGAAATGCAAACTTGATCTGTAACTCATCAAGATACACTCACATACTAAAAATCAGCTCAATATCTGCAGGCGTTTAAGAAAAATATGCGGAAAATCAAGTGGGACAGACTGACAGACAGACAGAGGGACAGCTAGACGGACAGACAGACAGACGGACAGACTCAGAGGTAAGCTATATTCCCCTCCGGTTTTACCGGTAGGGGACTAATAATGGGAATATTTGTCGATATATGCTGGTAGAAACAGGTAAAACGAGATTTATTTTCGGATTTATTATTTAGTTTCCATAATTAAAAGAAATGAATGAGAAGAATTTGAGCATTATTGTCTCATTTACATGTTTACAGGATGCAAAGAAAGCTAAAATGAGAGATAATGAAAAAATTCTAGAATAATGTGATATGTTAATGGCAAGTAATAGTAAAGCTGAAATTCGATGCCCATTAGACCTCGCCTGGCTATGATAGTAAAAAAGTGTCAGTATAAAATCTAAAATAGAAATTGCATCTCGTCAGGAATACAGTTCCATGGTAACCCATTGTAGATGTAGTATAACATGATATGTCACATCTTCCAAACATCCAAACAGAATATTAGGACAGACAGCTTTAACTACATCTACTTGTACATTTTAAGTTTCCTCTAAATTTCAATGATATATAATGCAGCATTATTCCATCATACATAATGGACTTTTAGATCGTATGCGATGCGCATGCGCATCATCCATTCTTGTGTTACATGTTTAAGAAAATACTTACATCGTTTGAACAACTCTATTAGCTGGGTGTTGATAGGCTTGGCGATGTAGGGTATACCGTGTAGAAAACATATCAAATATGTTCAAATATTCCTGAAAATTTTGTTAAATACTTTCATATGCATAAAATTATATATCTGACACATTTTTATTATATCAAAGAAAACTTGAAATAAACTCACTTTAAAAAGAAAACTTAAAAGAAATTCATCAAAATGAGCTCAAACATAGATTTACAGTAGATAATCTGAGTTTATCAATTGTGGATTATAGTTTGCGAACGTAAAATATAGTTAACGACGTTAATCTATAGCATATTTTAGACTTACTTTAATCTAATTCTATGTTTAACAAGTGTTAAATACACTTAATAGTGAGAATGAGAACACTTTTTTCTCAAGTGCAAAACAAAGCTTATTTGATAATTAGTACACTATGGTTAACAACTCTAAAATATAGTTAGCTAAAACATACTTTATCTGATAAATAAAGTTTCACGATTAGTAAAACTACATAATAATTATCAACTCTAAACTATGGTTAACGAATATTAATTAAAGTTAATAAATGATAATTTATATTTATCAGTAAAATCAATAATGAACATTTATTATCAAGCTTGTTTTTGTTTCAGGAAACTTTAGTTTACAACCTAAAAACTATAGTTTACAATTTTTCACTGTAGTTTACGTTTCGTTAGCTAAATAGTTTATAATTGATAAACCTTCTTTATAAACTATAAAACTGTGCTTAGCTTTTTTGTGAATTTGGAGTGCAATGGAATATTTTAATTGTGAAATAAATAACAGTCTTATATTCACTTGCCGATTTTGGAAAGCTTATATGTCTCTCTCCTCCATGTTCGATAACTCTGGCTATCTTTATGCTTCGCTGACATTGAAAATTATGATGGAGTCCTAGCATGTGACAATCACGTGAGAAATAATCCCATTTGTCAACATCTATTTTGTTTACGTCATTGGCAACTACCTACACAAATAACATCTCTATAAAATTTACTTATATAACGTAACATTTATGTCGAACTAAAGACAATTTCGGACATCTTACCTCGTAGAGAAAGTGTTTTTCTTTAGGTCTTCCTTCGTAAGAACCTTTTGGTTTCTGTTCAGTAAATAAGATAAAAATGGTGTAATTGGAAATTTGAAAAGAGTCTGACAAAAAGTTGACATCATAGATTTATTTTAAACCAATTTAAAAATGAAAACTGTGAAAATGAGCAATGAAACATGGTTTATAATTTTTGAATTTCTGTTCAATAAACCTACCTTAATAAGTTCTTTGATGAAAGTTTGACTTTCTTTAGTCAAATCGTCTAAACTGACAATTTCGAAAATTCTGTCTAGCATTTTCAAAGATGCTTCTTCATGCTATAAAACAAGTTATTACGAATATGTTTTTAGTCTTTATCCTCTGAAAGAGTAAAAATGAAAACAAGCTGAGGTGGAGTCAAAACCTCAGAATGTCTTTATATGTCAAATACGAGATATGTTAATACTAATCCTATATTAAATACAAAATCAAAAAGGAAAAATAGCAATATAGCATCACTTCTGTTTCCCTAGAATTAAATCCCGGAAACATTTCTAGAAGTGTGGAAAACGGTCTTACTGGGCATGATAACGATTGATTAATCAACTGAGTAATATGAATTTATAAACCAGTTACGAGTTCAAACCTTTTGATTTTCATCCACTATATAATAAACTTAGCTACGTCAGAGTAACTTAAAACTGCATTTCACTTTTTCGGTTAAAGAAATAGACTGTTACTAGCTAGCAAAATGGTTCAATAGGTATAATGCATTTTCAATATAAATGGTCAATTTAGACCCATTCTGAGGGGTAGAACGAGATTTAAGGTGACTAGCGTTTTGGATTTTCAGGCAAACTGCTAATTTTAAGCATGCTATAGTTTTCTGTCTAGATTTCCAGAAAAAAAAAATTAAAAATTTTGGAGACATATTATGTATTTCTCATCCACGATCAGCCAAGTTCCTCCCTGTGGCCTGAATCACGGACCCAAGGATATAAATTTCAAAATTTTGGATGGATGTTTAAATTCGTTGCTCATCATCACTGTGCAAACAGTTTACCTGCTAGAAAAGAGAGTTTTGGAGATTTCATTAATTTTGGTAGTATTGGTCGCTCATCTGTAGCAGCAAGAGATGGTACCGCAATTCAAGATATCTGTTCCCTTGATTTATAGATACTTCGTTCCAGATATTAATTACCAATTCTATTATCTTCGAAAATTTACAAAAGCTTAAGCAGACTGTAAAGTTCATATGACCTGATGTCATCTGGGTAACTAGCCATAGGGTGCTTAAAGATAAACATTGTTTTTAAATGAATTACCTCCCATTCATATCCAGGTCTTGCTTTTTGAATAAACTGCAGGTCAAACAGATGAGAGAATGCACCGTGTCCTGCGAGATAAAGGGAGCATTATGTAATATTTACTTATCAATTTACATTACTCAACTACGGTAAGGAATTATCCTGGGTACAAAGCCTGAAATCTGTTTAAACCAATATACGTGACAAACATAGGTACAAACCTAGATCATGACAAAGTCCAGCAACCTCCAAACAAATGATATCTTCCTGAGTTATTTTAAGTTCTGGCTGATTTTTCTGTAATTCAGTACCAAGCGTTCTTGCTAAGTGTGCAGTTCTAATAAGGAAATATATATATATATATATATATATATATATATATATATATATATATATATATATATATATATATATATATATATATATATATATATATATATATATATATATATATATATATATATATCAGTAACTTATAGCCACTGGAAAAAAATCTTTAAGTTCTTTAACTGAATATTAACACCTTCATAACCAGTTATAATGCTGTACTGCGCTGAAATGCATAATAAAGACCATGTACAGGTAACTGCCTCTGCTTTCATTTTGGATATGTTTACACATCGAATTATCTTGTGTTATCGATGCATGAGTAATGGTTTTGCGTGTACGATATCATTGCAAACAAAATCACTGCCAACTTCTGAAGTACTTCTTGAAGATATACTACCACAGAAACACAATTATGTTCTTACTTGTCTGAACAAAGGCAGATTTTTTCATCCAAATGTTTCTTTCATAATAATCAAATGTTAACATTATATAAAATTGCATACAGTTGACTGAGACAGGCAGTTTTACTCAATACCCTCAATTACATGATAAATTAATGTTTTTGCTATTTTTTCTCCAGATTTTGTACACGGATCTCAAAATTAATTCGACAAAAATTTTTATTTAGGGTAAAAAAAGCTTCTGCCAACTCCTCTTTCTTCCAGCTTTTTCTAACCTTCGTATCAAAGATAGGTACAAGTACATGTATGTCACTTAACATAAATTTAAAATTACCCTATAGAATGTTCAAATCTGTTGTGGCATGCACCCGGATACACAAAATAACATCCTCCCAACTGCTTGATAAACCTTAGTCGTTGAAATTCTGGTGTGTTTATGATCTTCCATGACGTCGGAGACAATTCTATTGGTCCCCAAATTGAGTCATTAATTATCTGTAACACGATAAAAATTGCCATTGCAAAAAATTCACACATTTTTGAAAATATACATCTTTATTTTACTGTCAATTTCATTATACCTCTCTACGATTTCCAGTCCGTGTGAAACATTTTTTTGGCATAAAATAAAACTGTGATCAAACGAATTCCAGTATGGGTTGGAGTTCCAAATATTGATAAAATGCAGAATCAAGTGGGTTTTATTTTTCTGAACCTTGAAAATGTTTGATAATAAGATAATGGTTTAAAACTTACAAAGTATATCTGGAAAATATACCAAATTAAGCTATTCTGCAGGAATTGTAAAAAGTATGGGTTGATTCTACTTACTGATGAAACCACAGTGAGACTGAGAATAATAAAACAGTTAAAATATTTTCGGAAGTTTAGGTTGTAATTGTTTCCACTTTTCTTTCTGTTTTGTTTTTTGTTGCCCTGAATTTGGTCTTCAAAAATGATTATTTGAACCTATTTTTTCTCCATATTCTTAGGGGAAAAAATTCCAAACTTAATCATTTTTACCCCACTGTGTTGTATACATAATACTTACAGTGTTTTTCCGCAAAGTTGTACTGTTTTCTTGTAATGTCCCCATATCAATTTTAGCGAAAAGACTATCAGTCCTACGCGCACAGCTCAGTTTATATACTGATCTAAGTATATGGAATAATCACCACCGATAAAAATTTAGATATATTCAAAGATTACAGAAGTTACCTCGACGAATTCACCTATAGAATCTAAATTTGAAAATGGGGGGGGGGATTAGCCGAGCATATGCCGCCGCTCGTTTTCCAGCTATTTAAGTGTGTACATCGGAAATTCCACAGTCGAAAATTTACCTATCGACATTTCAATGTTTATAGATCTCTCCAAATGATGATATCTACATTATAAACAAAAACGCTTTACCTTGCATTTTCTGATACAGAAAGTTTAACACGAGTAGTGCCTTCCATAATGTCTATTGAGTGTTCACACGTATTGTGTATATATTATTATATTATTTTGTATATATAATGAGAGTGGTGAGCTTTAAAAAATTTGGTGGCAGAGTGTTTGGTCAAAAATAATACGAAAGGAAATATACTTTTTCCCTTTTTTATTATTTTTTTTCCTATGTTTTAAATAATTGGGTCATTATTACATATATATATTTTATTTTCAGTGAAAATATATGTTATTCCTACATTTCAACATAATTACAAAGTTTTGTTTGTTTGTTTGTTGTTTAACGTTCCCCTCGAGAATTTTTCACTCACATGGAGACGTCACCACTTGCAATTTTTTATCTATACTCGGCGGATCTTTTTCGTGCCAGCACCTACTGCGACACTGGGTCTCGGTTTATACAGTCTCATCCGAAGGATTGGTCTCAACGTCCCGTAATTACAAAAAAAAATATTTTGAAAAAAAATTAGAAAAAAATGAGAAAAAAATCACAGGAATTGTTCCTTTTTATTAGCCGTCCCGTTTTTGTAATTTTAAGAAGAGAATTTATTCAAAACTTCAAACCCGGAAAGTATAAATCTCTTGCAGTGGCCTTCAATTCGACATCAAGATATATGGACGACGTTTTATCAATTTTAGAACAATATTGATTTTCATTCATACCTTGACTCGATATGTCTCACTGAACCCGAAATAAAAGACACCGCATAGTCTGAATAATTGTTTTATATTAAGATGATTAACTAGAAAGAAAAAGTCATAGAAAACTAAGAACTCTACATGTATAAAAAACGTTATGACTTCACCCCTATTGCAGTATTTAAATTTTTATAACAGATTGTTACTTTCTCAAAAGGTCTACATATAGAGCACTTTGAGGGGAAAAAAGTACATAAAAAAAGCTTGTTTGTGAGAGGGAGGTTCATGTAGCAACAGTCTTTGAAAAGTTCTACCATCACAAACAAAGTAGTGAAAGGTGTAACAGACAAAAGTGTTATAATGTGGAGTCGTAACCGTGATAGAAACTGATGCAGTTAAACTCAGTCATACAGAAGACACAGGGACTTCAAATTTTACTTCCCTATAACCGAAATTCTTTATATCTGTATAGGAAACATAGTGAAAAAGTCGGCTAAGGGATTCATAAAAATTCTTCATAACCGAAATTTCCTCATAATCGAGTTTTAGTGTAGTCGAAAGGTTCTGCAACTATGCGAGATTTCAATACAATCTGCAATGCCCATACAAATAAAAGCGCGATCTACGCCTTTATTGGGTCTCGGAGACGGTGCGCAATCAGGGAGGTCCATACACTTCTGCAGCCGTTTTAACTGCAGTGGTCATGTACACTGATAAGAAAGTCTTAACACCAGCGTACTGCAACAAGGAACAAGCACTGCAGATATAATCGCTAATTTATACAAAAAAATGGTTACACAATTATTAACTCTACCATTTGTATACACAACCAGGATATCTTTTTTGAAATTATCAATCATCACTCATTATTATTCTATAAAACTTTACTTCAGAAATAATAGAAAGTGATGAAGATAACGAACAGTGATGGATGGACCAAAAAAACCTTCAAACAAGACATGGACCTCCCGAAATTCCAGAGGTGGAAACAGGTGCTAGCTAGGGGGAGTAAACATCCCCTGTCAACCAGTCACACCCGCCGTGAGCCCTATGCATTGATCAGGTAGACGGAATATTCAGATTCAGTACAAAAACAAAGGGCTAATAATTGATATGAAATATGGTTGTTGAGAACCCTGTGAGATCACCTTATCTGTCGGTTTAAAAGTTTAGCGTAATTAGAACATGCTCTTGAGTTTCAAATAAGTTGGGAAACATAAACATTATGTGCAGGTGATAGCGGAATATTACTATATAGGTTAGGAAAGTTGATAAATGAAAACCTGAAGTCTTCTCGCTTGTCATACAATTTAGTTGTTAGTTGGCCCTTATCGTCTGTAGTCCATAAACACCTAAAAATGAAACAGATATCGCAGACTCTGTGGTGTCTTTTATTTCAAGTTTACTGGGATATATCGAATCGACATATATATGGAAGTAACTATTGTTAATTGACAAAACAGCGGCGATGTATCTGAATGTCGATTTGAAGGCCACAGCAAGTGTTTCCCCCTGCTCATGTAGAAGGTTTTGAATACATTCTGCTTCATAGGAATATAAAACAGTTTGGCTAATAACAGAGATCAATTAGTGCCCATCGGAATTTCCAACAGTTTGTTGGAAGACCTGGTCTCCAAAGACTATATAGAAGTTGTAAATGAGGAACTCCAGCATCCTTTTGATATCACCTTTAGAGCACTTGTTTGTAAAATCAGAATGATTTTTTACAAAGTAATTTTGTTGATGACCAATCACAAGATATAAAGATAAAAAAGTTTAATGTTTATTGAAGAAGCAGTTGTCTATGATATAGAAAAAAAACTTAGTTTTTCATTTATCATGAGAAATGGTTGTATAAAGTTTGGAAAAGTCATAAGTTTTGATGTTACTGACTTCCGAAAAATTTAGTAATTTTAATTTTTTTTTTTTAGTGTTTTCGAGAATCCACATTCTTTTTACATCACTACTAGAATATGTTGTAGCACAGCACGCCTGAAGTTTCTCCTTTAACAGCTGTTAATATTTTTGTGAGGCGTAAAGACAAGGGATTGTTAGAGCATCTGCTGGATCTGACAATGTATCTTTCTTTGGAAGGATTTTTATGAAATTTAGGAATGCAGTATAGAAAGGGTAGATCGAACCCATCTTCGGTGACTGACATATTAAAAGTATTAAAGATTGAACTGTAATTTTGAAGAATTTCATCCGTGAGAATGAACTGTGAGTTTAAGCTGGATTTACAGATGTAGAATTTAAAAAAAAGTTCATCTAAAATACAATTATAATAATGAGCCTTACAAACAAAGACGATATTGTTACAAGCCTTGTGAAGGTACATATTATCGTTCTGTACATATTGTCAAAGGCGATGATATATACCTTACCTCAATGCACAAATTGTCGTCCATCGGTACATATTGTCAACGGCGACAATATGTATTGTTAACTTTTGTACAATTTTTCCCCAATATATTGTTTATAATATTTCGTATTTAATGGGGTCTTGAAGAGAGAGAGACTGACACACACACCTTCACACACACATATGACACATACACACACAAGAGAGAGAGAGGAGAGAGAGAGAGGGATTCCTGGTTAGTTTTATGAATTTATATTAATCATGTTATTTGCACTATTCTCATCTTTACAGTATTACTTATACAGATGTATATAAATATAGCGTTCATTACAGCTACTTCACTGGAGTTGAAAATAATTACAAATAAGCGATCTCATGAAAATTGAATGTATAATTTTCGTTAACATCATCATCATCATCATTCATATTACTATGTGCTACAATATGTGCAGTGAGGGTAGGCACATACTGTCTCCAGCGACAATATGTACATGTAATTTGTGCAACCTGCGACAATACGTATCAATGAACAAAAATATGTGCAGTGAGGATTGGAACACATTGTCGCCAGCAATGATAGGTACAGGAAGACATTATGTACCGTCACAATCGCGCTGCATGAAATAGCTTAAGAGACAAATCTGTGTTATTTACACACCAATAACATTCAGAAAGCAACCCGCCTGTTTGGGGCGATAATATGTGCAGTAAGGGTAGACACATATTGTCGCAAGCGATAATATGTACATGTATAATTTTTCATCCGGCGACTATAGTTTTCGATGGATGATAATATGTGCAGTGAGGATAGCTGCATATTGTCCTATATTGTCCCATGTTGTCCTATCCTCACGGCACATATTGTCGCCGACGACTATATGTACAAAACAACATCCTTGCTTGCTGGAATCATAGCATATTGTTTATGTAGTTTTTTTTTAATTTTTTTCTTTTATCAACTCCGCTTCTAATATTTTTTTATCATCTCTGATTTATTGAAAAGCAAAGATAGATGAAGTACTTATTTCGACATACAATTAATAAAATGAAAAATTACATAGTGATA